ATACATGAATAAATAGCATTTTTTAAACAAAAGATTCACAACTACATCAGAATGGTGATTTGGCACAATAGCTAATTATTCATCAGAGCCAATAAAGATTATCTTACTAGCTTAGCTAACGCAAATGTGCAGTTTTAATAAGAGGAAACCAGATTCCGTTGTGGAGATAGGAGAAAATTATTTTAATCAATCACAAGAATTCATTTGAATTTCTATACATGTGTGAAAAAGAAAGAGAGAGAGAAGAATTGTACAAAAATAAGCAGACACAGACAGATGGACAGGCGGACAGAGGGGACATGTGGAGGAGGATTTAGTGAGAGAGAGAGCAAGAGAGAGAGAGAGCTTGCTGAACTTGTTCTCCTGCTGCTTCCTCCCATGCCTGTGCTCCATAATGACACAGCACTAGCTATCTAATGACACACTGGAGGAGAAAAGAAACCCAAATCTATACGTGCACAACACCAAAGCATTGGCTCACAACCTCACCACTAAACTCACACTCGCTTAGAAGACGAAAGGTTGCACGAGATAATTAAGATACGATTTGTCTCAACAGTTTATTAGTTTAGTTCATTTAATGTTTTAAAACATTGAATCTTCGTAAAACTGTGACTGTTAAAGCTAGCTGGTGAGTAGGATTGTTAGCTTTGTTTTTTGGATTTCTACTCAGTCTGTTGAGTGGATATTGTGTTGATAATTTAGAATATAAAAAACGGCAACTCTCCAAAAACACAGGTCAACACTTTGCTCAGTGACAGTTGGGATGACTTCCCTACCTGAAACAAGTGAGTAAAGGATATAGCTATCACATGTGACTTGTGAACTCATGAACCATAACCCAAATCATAACTTTTTCCAAGTTAGACACAAGAGTGACAAATTGCAAGTTAGTGGACAATAATAAAGCATAAAAACAGTATTATTTATTTAAGGCAAACATGTGGCATACTGGATAGAAATCTGCATCATCTTCCATCATCTGCCCTTTCTTTCTGTTAAATGTTTGAGACCAGATTAATGGTGTGGAAGGGTTTGACTTGAAAGGAGGACAAGACTAGCACACTGTGAGATGTTGACTGTGGACTGATTCATGCGCATCGAGAGACATTAAATTGTGACAGGATGACAGAGCAATTGCAGGCTTTCTATGTGAGGACGGGTTCACACCGATGCCTTTCTTAAGATAAGAAGAGTTTGTTGTGATATTTTTTTCAGAAATCTTTCCAGTAAGTCCAAAGAGAGAAACTCTGTAATGTGACATTTACATACCCATCTGGACAGTTATAAGCACTGAAAGAATTTTTTTCTTTACTTTGGTGTCGTTCAAACATATTTAAGGTTTACAGTTTTATGGATATGTATATATATTTTTTCTTTATATGGATTTATATATTTTGTCTTTTTTAACTGAATATATTTTCAGTTAAAAATATATATACCGTATTCATTTTTTTGTTTTTGTTTTTTAGAATGATTTTTTTTCCATTATCATCAGATTGGAGGAGAGTGGTAGTTTGTAACAAAAAGACAAAGATCAATAACAAGCACAGACAAAGAAATGATGCTTCCCCTATGGAACCTTACAGAGCTATTCTACCATTTTGAGAAAAGCAAGGTGTATTCTGCTTCATTCAGCTGCTTGTTCCTGACCCAGAAACACTACAGCCTCACAAAAGAAAGCAAAACGGTAGGTGGAAAATAAGACTTTGTGCACATATTGCTGCTCAATAAAAATCCATTTATTCGTCTGAAAGGCACGTTTATTCTTTTAACAGTTACAATGCACTGTTTTTTGCTAACCGAAGAGTCTAAAGACATGAATAGCATATTTTACAACCACTCAGTGCTTTTGTGGAATTGATTTTAACACTTCAATTTAGCAGATGGGTATGTTATAATAGCCTAATTATTATTAAGATCTTTAAGGAGTTTCTTCTTTTTTAATGATCAGTCTTTGACTGAAGGAGAAAAATAACCTGTATCATGACTGATTTATTACACTTTAATATACATGTGTTTCCTATGCTTTCAAGAAATGTGCACTTCTTTTGTTTATAAATGATAACCACAAATATGCTCTAACTTTTTCTGTTAACATTGCCCAAATTTCCCTCTCATAGATTAAAACTATCCTCTGAGTGGTGTGAATGCTTCAGCCATTGCCCACTCCTGTTCCTAGATGTAGCTGATCTAGCCTCAATCTTCCCTTGTTTGTGACTTGTTTATTATCAAAAGAGAATCTACCGACAGGTTAATGCTGTTTCCTTTGTTTATTTGAATGAAGAGGGTAACATTAAAATGCACACAGTGCACATTATAGCTATATACTATACTGGCCTAAGTAATATGACCATTTAGGTTTACGCATTGACTGAATGTATAAGTGTGATCGTGAAGATCTTGAATTGAATCTTGAATTTCTGTTGAAAATTTTGGTGTGCGCTTTTCCCAAATGATCGTATCGGTTTCATATAGAACAGACATTTAGTAGGTTATTGCATTAGTGTGAGATTTTAATATTTCATCACAGCAGCCTTCAAATCTTTCGGGGGATGAAATTTCACTGTAAAAGGAATGAGACACGGAAAGGATCCTCTTTGTTGTTTGCCTCTGGTGCCTCTGAACCCTCTTTGATTAAAAAAGTGCATAATGCTATCTCACTTTAGAAGTAAGGACAAAGCAATAATTTGGTAAGTGTGTTTATGATTCCTGATTCAACGCAGCAGCTTCCTGCCCCTGTTCTGATGCCAGTGGCCTTTTGGCTACACTTGACAGTGCTTTGCTAAGTCTGAAAAGCTGACAGTCTGGAGATACAATCTTAGTCTGTATTTGGATTTGATTTTCTCAATATTTTTGAAAGAGTGGATATGTCCAAACTCTGATCCTATTATCAAAATGTGAATTAGTGTTAAGTTTCCCCAGTTCAATGATTTTTACAGCAGTGGTTTTGTTGCCAGTACAGTCAACACTGGGATCATGGTTAGACAGAAAATGAAACCTTCCTTGTCCCAGGAGGCTTTTCATTTGTTCTCAAATAGACTTATCTGCAATATTCAGTATTATTTATCGTCGGCAAAATGTCCTCTTTTTATGCCAGTGCTTTATTGGGTCCCAAGCTCTCCATCAAAATGTTTTATTTTATTACTCTACTGAGTGTTTGTTTCTTTTTCTTTTCTTCTTTTGTTTTTCTTAACCAAAAGTAAGTCTAGCTGTTTTCGGGAAACATTACTATCAAGACATTCACGGGAATGTGTCAGCCACCACTTAATGTTTTCTTACACATCTGGCCTTCATTATAAGAATAAATAAGAATGTTATTGGTATTCATCATATGCACCAAAAGGCACCGATAAAAGGCAGGCATAATGGAATTGATGCAAATTACATACAGTATTCCACATTTCTGTTATCAGCTTCATAAAGTGTCTCAGAACAGAAACTAACATGAGATATGAAACACTAGCTTAAATATTGTCAGACAAACTTGCAAATATTAATGGAATTTATGGAAGCTTTACTAGTTTAAGTCTTCATGTTAACAATTGAGAGCATAGAGAAAAAGGATGGCGCTGAATTACTGAGAGAGAGATTGAAGGAAAAAAGATGTGGAGGCGACAGCCAATAAGAAATTGTTTTAAGGACAAAAGCCTGCAATTTGTATGGTAATCCTGGAATGCTCCCACTGAGGCTATTGTGGAGCTGGGGAGACCGTTCTGTTCTAATACACTTTTTTAGTCATATAGCGAACCTCTAATGGGAGTTATGTGTGCATTCATGAGCTGTTAAGACCACACTAATAACTCTAAAATTGCTCTGCAATGGTGAAAACCCTAACCCTTGTCATACATAATACAACAAATTACCTTTTTTATGGTTGACAAAAAAAAAGGAAAAAGATTTTCTGTTAATTTGTTGGCTGATGGTAATCAACAACCATCCAAAATGAATGAAGACAATTCAAGGCCAGATAGAATGTAATTTAGTTTACAAAAAGGGATAGCTCCTTTGAATGGCAAACCCTTGTCAGCCTGTTGAAGATTTTTGCTTAATTGTTTAGTCATTGGCATTTTCTCAAAACAGAAGCCTCTGACTCACTCCATAAAATATAAATGGCACTGGTGTGATCAGAACAGGCGTCAAGATGCCCCTACATCTCTGTCCCTGTCTGTAACAGAAAGACTATACACACACACACACACACACATATATATATATATGTATATAAATATTTAGAGAGAGAGAGAGAGAGAGAGAGAGAGAGAGAGAGATAGTGATCAATTACCAAGTAGATATTTGATCATAGTTCTTAGTTGGGAACTAGAAAAAACAGAACTGGCCGCTATAACCAACCTCTCAACAACAGATTCTCAAATTCTTGTTTCAGTCTCCCGAGAGATAACTGAGCCAATTTTAATTTCTGTTTCTTCCAACACACCAGAAATAAATTGCAGCAAATGGTGAAGTGTCAAAGACAAAATCTAGAGTGTTTTTATTTCTGTCATGTTTCATCCAAGATGAAATGATTTAGAAAGCACCAGAAGAGGTTGTTAAAGGAGCCGTACACCAGCAGGTACCAGCATTAACCAATCAATTGAACTGAATATTCCTGCGTGTGAAAAGAATTATCAAGTGAAATTACATTTCAAATGATTTTGAAAAGGGCATTCCCTTAAGGACTTTCGAATAGTGACTGTGGAACATGGTCCCCTAATTTTTTTAAAGAGGTGTTGAAAGAGGGGGGGGGCAGTGTGTTCTCTGAAATTCAGAAAGGGCAAACAGAGTGAATGTTAAATCATATAGTTATGAAAGACACAAACACAACACACACATATGCAGAAAGATACAAGCTGACTAGACACACAGACAGAGAAAAGATCTAGAGGCTTTATTGGGCTCAGTAATGTGTTTTTCCAGGGCGCTGCCACACGTTTGAATGAGATAGGTTTTGCATCTACATACTGAGAGGCTGCGTGGTGGTGTTGTGATTAGCAGTCACCTTAGAGAGGGTTTGGAATCCTGGCTGGGGGCCTCTCTGTGTGGAGTTCTTGTGTATGTGTGGGTTCTCTCTGGTTTCCTCCCACCATCCAAAAACATCCATGTTAGGTTAATTGTTGACTCTAAATTGACCCTTGGAGTGAGTGCGAGTGTGCATGGTTGGCTGTCTTGGTGTGGCCCTGTGATTGGCTAGCAACCTGTGCAGAGTGTACCCTGCCTCTTGCCTAATAGCAGCTGTGGGCTTCCTGCAGCCAGAACTGGATTAACTGAGTATAGAGAAGAGAACAAGGATATATTCTATGTGTACGGTGCAACCTGTGCTGTGCTCCGGTGCAAAATGGGAAAGACAGAAGCAAGGGTTCTCCTACATTTTTTGACAATAGCAGATAAACTCTGATTCAGCTGTAATTAAGCATGTGTCACTACAAATCCCACGTCTCGCTTTCTGTCTAACCAGTCCATTTCATTGCTGCTGTAACTCCCTTGGCCCTTAAATCAACACATGCCCCTCTGCTCGACGGCTCTTCCCTCTGTCATGAGTGTCTTAATCGTGGCCAACACGCAAGGGGTATGAACAGGCAAATTTTTCAGTTTACAGTCCCTATTTTTACTACACTGCCATCCGAAACAGGCACAGATGTCGAAAAATAAACATCACACAGAACTGGTTGACTTTTTCTAGATCTGAACATGGATATATGTCATGCTTAGATGACATTAACAGATGGCAGAATCCTCTGGGGAAAAAATACAACAAGTACACTCTTAGCCCCAGCAGGTATAGCTCCCTTTGGGAAATGTATCTCAGGTATTTTTCGTTTTTGTCCAACATGGTATTATTTTCCTTCCATTTCCACAGGTTTGAGGGGTTTCCTAAGAAATCCTGCCTGTTGTAAATCCCAACGTGCTACACTTGAATTGGTTTTAATTATAGACTATATAGACCAATCTGAACTCTAACTCTGTTTTTTCTGATATTGTGGATTTATTTGTTTGCATACATCTATTAGTGGGTTGAATGGTTCACAGAAAGCCACCCAGTCCCTGAGGGGGCAGAGCAACCCTGCAGGTATGAGCTTATTCTTCTGAAAAAGTATCCTGTATGACGGTCAACAGCTCACATGTAATTCTTTTTTGTTATGACTTTGGACAAACACATCTGTTAACTGTCTTTCATTTTTTAAATCAGCAAAGTATAAAGAAAAAGCTTTGCATTTCCCTATCTTCCAAGACAATAGATGCATTTTTGGGGAAATTGCAAAATGACATGTTTCTTTATCCATCTTTATTTAGATTTTTAATGGTGTCACTTTTAGACATTCAGTAGTAATTTTTATAAACTTCTCTCTGGATTTGTGAGTGTTGAAGAGCATCAAGTGACCACACACGTTTGTAATAACTTATTTGCTTTTATGTTCAAATCAAGCAATTTTTCTTAGATATAGTTCTACATAATAGGATTTTCATTCCTACATTATGAACTTGGTGAACATGTTGGTTTTTATTTTCCATGTCCTGTAGATAGCAGCTGTAGTCTTCTAGGATTTCAAAAACGCAAGCCAAAAAACCTCTTTAAACAGGTGTCGAAGATCAGACTGCACTGAAACATGAATTCTTACATGATACATGACAAATTACATAAGGTCAGGATGGCATGGCAAGAGAGTCAACCTTTTTAGGCGTTTAACTGAGAGGCCTGTAACCCTTTTACAGGCCAGGGATGAGACTGACCTCATGATCACTCGAACAGTCGGCGCTGGACTGAAAAACTCTTTTTCATGAACTATGTAACAACATTGTCCCTATCCTACATACACCCAATGCTGGACTTTAATATTTATGCCATGCTTTCAATGGCAAGTTTCCCCCAATTATCCGATTTGAAACAGCCCCCTCAAATCAACAAGAAAATGTACCGGGCCACATTTCAACCTAGCAACAAGAGATATCAGGCATGAAATGGAGGTTAAGATTTTCCATTTGACACCCTGATGAAATAATTATAATAATTAATTCATGGCATACAGTACATAAAATCTCCTGCCCTACAAATGACATTTAAGCAAAGTTGAACCATCAGCTTCTGGAGGAGTCAAATTTCTGGTCAGGGTCGCAGATGTTGCACCATAAACCTCAGGAAATGTGTTATTATGATAAAGATGGAAAGACTTTGGGTATTTTCTGCAGTAATTATTCTCCCTTCTGCTGGAGGATCCCTTCAAATTACTTTTTGATGTTTCCAATTTCCACATTTGCTCATATGCTTAAAGGCAGGAGTTTAATAAACATCATGTAATTAATATTTAGCCTCCATTCTTATTTGATTGTTTCATTGAGGCTTGATTTACATGTTTACTTCTACCCAGACTGTTGTCTATAATTGCCAACACTCGCTTCTACGCACACAGAAAAATGAGTAAACTGTGGCCGTATCAATTTCAATATAGCTTTATGCCAACAGGCAATAGATTAACATAGGCCAAAATCTAAATCATTCAGTTGAAAGAAAAAAAAGATACAGCGGCAAAACAAATGACTTCTTCATTTGTGATGCGATGCTCTTTTTGCTCCACAGATGCGCACCGGATTCAGCGCGCCGTGCGTAAACGCCGTGAGAGGCTGCATTCTCACCTGTCGTCGGTCTGCCAGTCCCCGAGCAACAGGTCTCGGAACCGGTACCGAGGCGGTAGCGGGAGCACCTCCTTTTCCAGTTCCACCATGGTGTCCCTCCTCAAGTCAGAGATATGGGTAAAAATGCCACCGCAAACAGCACTTCCACACCAACGAGGTAATCCCCCCCAGAACCAACTCCGTTCCTCGTCCTTCTGCTATTCAAAACATAAATTGATAACGAACACATAGATCCGTCTCATGACTATACCTTCGAGCTGCCTCCTTAAAAGATAACAACGGCTTCCTTTTGCAGGGTGGATAGAAAAACGCGTCTTTACTTTTCCTCACACCGAGGCAACAGGTCGAGGATGCTCATCCGCTGAAGAGCAACTGGTTGTCTCTCCCAACAGCATCCTCCCTGCCTCAGCTCCACGGGCTCTGACAGCGAACCTGTAGGAAACGCCGTGCAGTTGCAACGAGTTCTCGTTAAGAGGAAAACCAATCATTGACAATTGCCCCTAAGACTCTCAAAACAAGTTCACAACAATAAACCATAAGCGCCCCCGCACTGGCATCCTGGCTGAGAGAGGTCTGTCATAGCCTACAGTTGGGAAAATCTGCCCCACGTACACTCCTGACCCTGGTAAATGGACACCAGACTGTGGAGACCTTCATGGATCTTAGTCCTCGTTAGTTCAATTTGCGTGCTATAGTTTTTTCCCTTCCTTTTTTTTAGGCCAGCAGTGTTTTTTTGTAATTGTGATGGAGTTAGGGCATTGAAGAGTTAGTCTTGGGTATATATTTATGTTGAACTACCTTAGAGCAAGACACATCAACACTTCCAATTTAGTGCCAAGCTTAAGTCGTGCATATTCATTTTGAGACAGTTAACACGATTCTCCACGGCTGACTGCGGCTGCTCTCATCCATATGCCAAAATATAATTAATACTATACGAGGCAGGGGACGTATAAAAACAGATTTTAATAAGGTGCGTGTTATCCGTTTGAACGTAGTCAAAAACTGAAATGATGTGAAATGTTTCTGAGTGTGCGCCAGAAGGATGTAAACATACAAAAAGTGGCTCTATGAAATCTATATATACTTTCAACAGCCTTAATGGATCTTCTGTTCGTCTCTTACGAATACTTATGAATAAACAAATGTAATTAAGGGCACATTACTTGCAAACTCCCTCATTATGCACAAACACACCATTTGTAATGCAGCACTTCACTTATGCACTATGTATCAGTTTGTCTGTTAAGAAAATTAAACAGGATTATTTCTGAGCCTCCAGTAATTAGAGCAGGAGTAATGACATTCAAATGTAGTGCTCAGGAAGACTGTTGACAGGAGGCCCCAGATAACAGGTGTTATTCAAATTAACTTCCATTAATTAATAGTAATGAACCACAACCTTGGCTTTATACGGCGGTACTCCTGTAAGCCCCAAACAACACGTTTATGCAGACAGTTGAAAAGGTTAATTGAGTGTCGTTCAAATGAATTACAAGAGATCACAAGATGATTTCACACAGTTTAGACACTGGATCTGCCTTATACTCTGTTAGAAACCCTACAACACAAGTCCTTTGGGTTCCATCCATTTCGCCCTCTGGTGGTCATTATGGTGCAGACGTACATCTGCAGATTACTACATCCGTTTCTCAGTAGGAGCAGGACACGCTCATCAACTAGTAGATTGACAAGTAAAAATATGCAGGGATGCAGGTTAAAATACCGGAACAGATCAATAGAGCTACAACAAGAATAGTCAACAATATACTCTGCCACAGAGAAAGTGTGGTGGTTATCGGGAAGATAAAAAAAAAATTCAAGTAGGTGGGCATAGCAGTGTAGCCATGGTAACGAAGGAAAGCATCAGTGTTTCAGAGGAGATGGTCAATGCATTTTGAACCTCGTTTAAACGCCATTTAATCTGACATTATCACAATGCAAAACAAAGAGGACAATTTCCAGGAGTATTCACGAGCCGGCTGTTGGATAAGACCGTCTGGCTCTTTCACAGCAGCTCTCCTCACCGGCAGCAAGATTAGAAATGCGTAAAAAAAACATGACCAAAGAGTAGAAAACATTCACCTATAAAAAGGTCATTTAAAATGACTAAATCTGTCTTTCAGTCTCTGTTATACGTGTCCATTCAGCTGCTCTATTCCAAAACCACATTGACGGAGGCCAAAGCCTCCACGGCCCAGCCCGGGTACTGCTCACGAGAAGGGAACATTCTCTTCATGAATGTCCGTATAAACTCTGGGAAACGGCCCTCCACAATGCTCTGCCTTACAGAGCGCATCAGGGTGAGCTGCAAAGAGAAATGTTTGATTAACCGAGGGGGAAAAAAAAACATAATGCGATTACTATAGACCTGCAGTGGGAAAGGATGCCCGTGTGTGCACCTTCAGAGTTTATGAGGTCAGCCACAGGTCATTACCGCCTGAGCAAATTTGTTTCCTGAAAATCTGTCACTATGGCAGCATATTGAGCCAACACTGAAATATCTCATTAGAATCGAGCGAATATCGATGACACATTATACGATTAATGAAACATGCCAGGATCCTGAATTAAATTGGAAATGCTCAAAAGTTGTCATAAATGGGGAAACAAATATCAACAAATGAGTGGGCCAATCATGCCATATTTCAGAACATGCCAGCCAAAAGGGGATGTGTTCCGTAGACTTTATAGTGCTGGAGTAAAACAATATGTTTGTGCCACAACAAAACATAGAAAATAAAGATTCAATGGCCATAACTGAGTCTAATCATGTGAAAACACATTTTTGTGGATTCGGCTGGTGTGGCTCAAGAGTCACGATGGCACATATTAGAAATCATGTAGCGCATACAGATAGTATCTTTGGAAATTAGATTTGAGAATTAATATATTGCATTATACTTCATTCCTTAGTGAGTCATTCCCATGGCGCTTTTTTTTACACTGACCTGGTAGGAAATGTTGTGGATGGTGATGTGATGCATAGCTGCTGTGTCACTTTTAAACAGAGCATGAAGGAAAGCTCGACTATGACTGAAACAAACAAACAAAAAAAGAACTTACAAATAAGCACAACACATTTCAAGCATCTCTCTAAAAGAAAAACATGCCTTTATATTCAAATGATTGAAGTTAAATTAATTAAAGTACATATTTGTTGTAGTTATGAGTCATTTTAAGTATATGAACATGATTTGAAAATTATCCGGAAAAAGAACTGATCATGGATCAAAGTCACTGATTACAACATTGTCAAGATCAGCTCCTTTTGACTCACAAACTTGACTCACTTCTTGCAGGTGGGACACTGACAGTCTGGGTCTATGGGCTGGAAGTCTTTGGCATACTGCTTCTGTTTCACCTGGAGCGATCCCCAAGGTACCAAAGCAGAACCAAACCTCTAAACGGAACAAAACAAAACCACAGACAAATGTCTATCAGTAGATGATTTGAAATCAAATGAAAATTCTAAAGTGATTTCTTGGTACTATGAGATAGAGAACCTACTGCCGTGCGTGTTGGGAAGACACAGTCAAACATATCACATCCCAACGCGACACACACCACCAAATCCACGGCATACCTACAGTGCGAAGATCAAGTTAATAGCTAATAGTACAGTAGTCATGATGACCTAAAGTTTGCATAAGGACACATACCCAACGCCCATGAGGTAGCGAGGCTTTTCTCGTGGCAGATGGTCAGTGCTCAAAGTGACCATCCGCCAGAAGTCATCCTTCTCCTCTCCTCCACTCAAGCCTCCGATAGCAAAGCCGGGAACATCCCGTTTGGTCATTTCTGAAGCAACACAAACATAATTTACAGTGTTGTAGCTTAAAGTTAAACTGTTCAAAACTTGGTAACTGTACATCACCATTAGATGTTACAGTTTGGGTCAGCCATTGTCAAAACCAAAAGGCAATTTGCAGTTATTATCTTTATGCATATTTTACAAAGTTTAAATTTGACAACTGAATATGCTAAATGAGAGGATAATTTCACACATTCTTTGAAAGTTGCCTGTAACCTGTTTAGTTTAACATAAATAAATTCCATCATTAAAAGGCAACTAGACATTAACTAGAACTACCTCCACATATAGTTAGCATTCAGAGAGAGACGTACGAGTAACAAAAAATTGAATAAGGAGCAGGATTTAATTTTACCATCCAGACAGGCTTTGCGCAGCTCTGCATCCAGTCCTCCCTGAATGATGGCAAAAAGATTCTGTTTGTTTGGATTTTTATTGGCTTTAATGCAGCGATCCAACCAGCGAATAGATCGATGCATGGCCTCCTCCACCCGTGGTCCCTTCACAGTACTGCTGACCACATCATCCAGCTGCATCATGATGTCTGATCCTGGAAGGCCGTAAAGAAACGAGATGCTGCTGGTAAGGAGCACTTCTGGGAAAAAAAATCAGCATATCCTAAAATAACATTAATCATCCACTCGTCGCTGACCCAGACTGTTCTGTATGTCGATGGACCTCTCGGGAGTGAGTAAGATCTCTTTGCCATCATAGGGGGACTTGAACTGGACCCCCTCTTCAGTGACCTTTGAAAGTTCCACAAGCGACACCATCTGAAAACCTCCACTGTCCTGTACAAAGAAGTTGAAGACACAAACATTTCTAAAGCATGCTGCCATTAATTTGTTAATGTAATTGCTTCAGGAAACGAAAGCTCCAGTTACTGTTAAAAGATTCCTCTTCCAGTTCATGAAACCATGTAACCCATTGGCTTTTTCGATCAAATCGGGACCCTGTAGGAAAGATGCATTTGCAGGGAGAAATCAGCATCGTTATGAGATATTAAATACCGACTGTTCTGACCTGTCGACATCACAGAAATACCTACCGGTCGCATGCCGAGGTGGTACGTGTTTCCAAGACAAATCTGACAACCTAGACTCTCCAGCTGATCCACGGTGATTCCCTTCAGTGTCCCCTGTGTTCCGACCGGCATGAAAACCGGGGTGCTGACAGTGGAGTGTGGTAGAGCCAGATCACATGCTCTGGCTTTCGTCACTGGGCATTCAGCGATTATTTTCAGTGACAGCGGAGAGGCACCGGAGAGAACTTTTTTTAAAGACATGCCGCTTTCTGAGGTATTTATACCGTCAACACGTTCCCCGTCCTCAGCCATGTTTAATTGATCATGTGACGGGGAGGGGCGACGACTGACAATACCATAAACCAATTAGAAATCAGTTGCTGTTTTTGGAGGCGTCTGGGGTATTCGAGTTCGTCCAATTAAAACAAATATTCATGAAAAGCAACAAAATAAACCAATAGGCGACTTGAATTTACAAAAAAGAGGCGGGATTACACCTACCGGTCTCGATAGGATATCGTCTCCCTTGACCGGATGGTGTTCGCGTAGAGGAAGTTTTGTTTTTCGAGTTTTCCGTCCCTTTCGACAGACAGAGGTTTTAATTGGTGTTTGTTAAAGAACACGGAATTGTGAGAATGCCGATTGCATTTTAAGTTGTCGTTCAAGTGTTCAAAGAGTCATAAACGACTAGAGCTCTTTAAACTAAGGAACTCAACACTTCTAAGTAACCCGAGAGCACCTTGCTGCTAAGTTAGCTTTACCAAGCTAGTTAGCGCGGCTAGCGTTAGCCTCCACTTTTCGTTGTGTTGAAGGGGCTCTCCGAGCAGACGAAGCCATGGGGAACCGGGGCATGGAAGACCTGATTCCCCTGATCAACAAGCTTCAAGATGCTTTCAGCTCAATTGGCCAGGCTTGCAATTTAGACCTTCCTCAGATTGCTGTGGTCGGTGGACAGAGCGCTGGAAAAAGCTCTGTCTTGGAAAATTTTGTTGGCAGGTAAAACTGACTATTTGGCTTAATTCGTTATCAGATGTAACTGTAACATCTGTTTTATAGAGTTTCTAGATAGCCAACATTTCTTAAAGTACCAGTATGACTGCATTATGGTAGTACGGAGACGTCATTTGCCGTGAAGTTAAGTTCTTCGCGAGTACGTAACCTAAGTTACGCTGTTGCCGTAAACCAGTCTCGATGGTAAAATAGATGTATTTTGAAACTCTTGATTAAAATACACTAATCTGTTGAGCTCATTCAGTATTCTAACATTGATGTTGAAGTTTATACGTGTAATATGTGTTTATAGGATTCTACACGATGTTGTAGTACTTAAAAAATACATTCTTGTACATTTTGGTGTCATAACAGCCAGTTAACTGAAATGAGAAGATTTATTCTTTTTGTAGCTCCTCTTCTGTTAACCTTTTTAAACGATTGACATTTACCAGTAATGTATATAGCATTGGATCTTAATTATGGGGTTACATCATGGCTCTTTTTAGAAGTGGAAATACAAGTTTACAATGTAAGTACTTTGTTCCTGTAGATTTTTGGAACAGTTTTTTTCTTCCCTCTTTTATGAAGAAATACTTTTTTTCTTGCAATGCAGAGATATTATATACAATCTCACATCTGTAGCAGACACAACTTCCCTTAGTTTGTTCCTCTTTTGTTTCTGTTTTTGGTTTTTGAAATTGACAAGTCCTCCTAATTCTTTGAAGTGTAATGTCTAGACATTACCATTGCCAGTGGCTCAACTTTATACTTCTCAACATTTTTGTCTTTTTGTCCTTTCCGACATCAGCAATGAGGGCGATCTGCCTCAAGATAAAGGAACAAAACAAGCTCAACCCAGCAGCTTGTTTAGCAGGTTTCCACTCTATTGAGAGACACTCAGTGTTTAACCCAACCCACACAGAAATCTCACGATCACACTCGTGCACACAGGCCAGCCTGCAGTGTAGAGAAGGTACGTTGGCTATGCGTACTGGCTCTGTTATAAATGCTCTTGAAAGAGCATGTCGTAACTGCTTTCAGGCAAGACTACACTTGCAGATTAGACTACCACTTTGTGCAAATTAATTCGGTTGAGTGGGACTCTGTACTTTGAGAGCACTTGACACACATCATCCGCAATTATGAGACATTTCCTGGTGACCTCAACCTCACACTTTGCTATTTTTGCTTTTTCTGACTGTTAAAGCGGACTAACAAGCATCCATCTACTGAAATATCACTAGTGATGTGATGACCTAGACTTGTATGACTTCGTCAGTGCTGCACTCTAAAGTTTATGATTAATGGAGGTTCAGTGGCTTTTTTGTACGCAGCTTTATTGTGTGCAGGTGACTTTGAAGGAAGCCAATGTTGAACAGTAAAGGTTAAAGTTTATATCTTCTGGGTGGAGTCTCGCTTCGCACTGGAAGCAGAAGGGTGGTGTCGGACATTATTGTAATGACAACAATGAGTCACTGTTGATAAAAGGGCGTGTTTGAGCCCGAGAGTGGTCTGTACCTATACCCATTGTTTTTTCGTGGTATTTTCTATATGCAAACCCCTTTTGTAGGATATTTCACTTGCAAATAATGTACAATGACAATAAGTTGGACTGAATAGAACTGTTTTGCATTTTTCTACTACTAGTTGATTGTTAAATATTTTCCTCACTGGCAGAGATCCATTCAGGTGGATTGTTTCGTGTGAGAGTGAGGCTCTGTCCCTGTCTCCTTAGGGAAGTAAATGATCCCATGTTTACTTTTTGCAGTACCTACAACAATGGAAGCAGTCACATCATGCCGAGAAGAGACACATCTCAGACACATGGCTGTACTGTTCAAACAGTTGAAATGTTGCTTCTTTTCGCTCTTGCCTCAATCTTGTGCGGTGTTACTGCATGATACATTTCTGAGTGACCTAAATTCTGCTTCACTGCCTTTTAGTGGTACGTATTGTGAATTAAGAAAATGATTTAACTGGACAGATGATGAATTGGACCATAAAACAATATCAGTTTACCAGTAACGATCATACACCTTTTCTCTATTTTTAGCTCTTTTATTCTGTGCAAACGTTTCAGTTTCCTTGTTGAGAGTTAAGACGTCATATCTCGTGCTGCAAGCTGGTCTGGGTGGAGGTAGTTATCAGATCTCTGGCGAATAGACAACAGAAAAAGGAGGCATTTCTAAATGTGACAGTTGTATGAAGTTTTAAATAGTCTTTTACTTATGTAATCCCATGCCGTGTTTATAGAAATATTAAATATTAACTTTACTGATAATTAATACCATCATCTCAGTTTAAAAAACATTCATTTTGGATGATGGTATCAATCTGTGAATGAACCTTAACAGAAGTGTTTTGATGTCTCAGAAAGGTGGACACCTGTGTGAGGAATAACCAGAAAGCAGTGTGGCAGTGATTGGGGACTTTCCAAGTGTTCGGATCTTGGCTGTGATGGAAGAGGCTTTGCTGCCCAGGGATTCCTCTTGGTACCCACAGTTGCAGTCTGTGGAGTGGGAACGCGGGTTGCCATAATTATGTGTTCTCTGCCACTCCAAAGACCATTGAACGGGCCCCACTGAACCACCAACACATGTTTGTGTACCAAACCATCTCTTAAGAGTTTACTCTGACCTCAGAATTTCGAAAACTGGTTTCCGTGTTTAAAAGTGTGGCCTGTCAAGCTTTTTCATACTCAAACGAAAGAAGGGTCAGCTTTGGGCTATTTCTCTTCAGAGTTGCTCTGCCTGTTTGTAAGACTGCTGGGGCAGGCTGGCGGGGGGGAGGCGAGCTGGCATTCTCTCCCTGCCCTACTCTCCCTTTATTTTGCGTTCTTAGATGGAGGCACACACACTCTTTGCTTGACCATGCATAATGCATGAAATGATACTCAATCTGCTGAACCTCGTCTATCATTTACAGCTCATAAATAATGAAATCCGAGCCTCTTGCTTCTTCTCAATATGCCACCACCGTTTATCCAATTCTGTTTATAAGAAAAACTGAGCATTTGGTTTCTCTTGTCCTGTGCTTCTTTAGCAGAGCACAAGCCAACAGTTTTGAGTAGATAAATGTTTCTGTGTCTTTTTGAGTCGATGCCTTTGTCTTTTTTTCATATTTACATTGTTTCACCTTCACAGCTTGTTGAGACAGTGAGACGGTGTTTGACTACTGAGAGTGACTTGAGCCGAGAGTGTGGCCTGGAATAATGACAAATTTAAGGGCTTTTAACAAAAGGTATGAAGTAGCCAGTCAATGGAGGGAGTAGCCTGCTGGGAGAGAATCGGGGACAGCTGGATTAATGCGAGTAGTTGACCGTTTGGCCCGACTACCACCACCATTGACAGTTTTTGAAGAGGTCCTTCTTGCTGTGATCTCAGCAGCTTCTTGTCATCAACAGTGTCAAGTCTCTCCTTGACACTGCTTCTTTTCCTCTAGTTCCAATTTGCTGTATTTTTGTCCCTGAAATGCTTTCCCTCTCTTGTTCCCAAACCCGGTCCCGGGCTTTCTTTACTGTCTGCCATGGGCACAAATGCCTGCATGATCCACATTATGTGAATGACACCACACCAGTGCTGAAACACAGACCTGTGGATTTTTGCTGACATTTGCAGTGGATGCCATCCAGAATGTTCACCACTGTTTAACCACTGAGCTACAGTCTCGGAAAAGCAATCAGTGTGTTGTATGGCCTGTCTTGTGGCAAACACATCACTTCCTGTATGAGATCAGCGTGCAGGCTGCGCCTCGCCTCGGTCTCTTCAGGCCTATAGGGAGTGCGCAGGTTAGTGACATGCTCAGCTCTCACAAGTTCTCCAAGGCTGACTAAGCAGCCCTGGCCATATGGTTCAGGATTCCTCTGGCACCCTGTCACTTCATGAGGAATAAACAAAACGGCTGTGAGGAGGCTCTCATTGTTTTCTGTGGAGTTGTCAGTCACAGTTGCACCAGAGTACGAGCCGCGTTGTTTACAGTTACCTAATCCTTTTGTATTGCAATATGTTTCGCACTTTGCATTGTGCAAGCAAGTGCCTACGAAATGTGCAAAGCAAGACTGGTAAGCGAGGGGGTGTGTGGTCAAGGCATCATTGTGGTTGTTGTTTCTTGTATGACACAGCTCTGAGTTACATACAAGCAGCTGCTGACTGAAAGTCGAAGCCTTGCCGCCGACTGAAATTAAGTATATTTTGATCAGCTCAAGCTGAGCGGTAGATGTGCACTAAAACAGGCGTGTTCTTATTGCAAAGGAAAAAAATGGGTCAAAAAGATTTTCCTGAGAAGTTCCAAGTTCCTCAGTAAGCAGAATAATTCAGACTGAAGGGTAGAGAAGCTCAGTCTTTTGCAAATTGTGTATGAACTTCCACTTTTGTGAAAAGCAGCTAGTAAAAAGGAGGAAAAAGCTGAAGCACTGCCGACTTGCTCTATCTAGTTGTGATACATATTATCCATTGACTTGCCAACGAAATTGGTAAAATGAGTAATTTCTCCATTATTTTTAGTTCACATTTTATTATCTGAAAGTCCAAAACTCAACCTGTCTGACCGAATTATTGTAGTGTTAAGTATTGGATATGATACATTTGTCAATTTTATTTTAGGTTGTCACATCCCTGTATAAGCACGAGTATGCACACATGAATCAGTTGCTTAAGCTATGAGAGGAAAACAAGCGTTACATTTTATTTGACAAGTTTTGCCCATTGATTTGCCAGAGGACATGCTGCAGGGGAATGGACAATGAGTGAGATGAATAATTCAATGTTATTCCTCTCTGTCTGGTTGTGTCTCTACTTCCCTCTTGCGTTCCTTTGTCTGTCCTATTTTATTCAACATGTCCCCCTTGTTTTGATTCCTACCCTTTTCCATCCCTTTCATTCCCCACATTTCTCATGTTTATTTTCTTTCTTTTGTTTCGTCTCTCGCTCAGGGACTTTCTTCCACGTGGATCAGGCATTGTCACCCGCAGACCTCTCATTTTGCAGCTGGTCAACAATAAAGCAGGTCAGTTTGTTTATCCTGTGCACAGCGACATCCCAGTTTCCTTTCACCACCGCCCTGCACATGGCCCCTCTGTCACTGTGCCTTAAGCTAGGCACACGATTTGCTTCTTTCATCTTTCAAATGTAATTTTCTTTCTCCTTGTGCTTGGTCTTCGCCGTGCTATGTCTCACATCTCACATTCATTTTTGTCTTCCCCTTTGTATAGAATACGCTGAATTCCTGCATTGCAAAGGAAAGAAGTTTGTGGATTTTGATGAAGTGCGGGCGGAAATTGAGGCAGAGACAGACAGAATAACGGGATCCAATAAAGGCATCTCCCCTATCCCGATTAACCTCAGGGTCTACTCCCCACACGGTAATGGACACAAGTTTATTTGAAACCTTACATTTCCAATATTCCTGAGCTAGTACATTTATAGTTTAAAACATACCAAGATCTCATTCTAAGAGCGATATTGTATTCAATAAAATAATTTCAAAACCTCCATCATATGTAGTTCATGTTGTCTTAAACACAGACATTCACTTTTTGTTATTTTAGAAGTTTGATTTAAGATGTCCTAGTATAACCAATAAGACCAAAATCTGAGTTGTTTATACCTTGCTTTCGTTTATGTAATGTTAAAGTCATACTTGGTGCTCCACATGATGATTTTTGTTAAAAATATGTTATTTAAAATGTATTGTTAATAAATCAAAACATAAGAACATAAATGTCCACTGATATTTTTCTTAAAAGTTTTTCAGAAGTTTTGTTCAGTATTTTGGAAAAACTTTGAACCAAACTATTTTAGACAATGGAAGCACACGTTTTAATTGCATTTCTTCTTTTTTGTGACATAGTGCTGAATCTGACTCTGATCGACCTCCCCGGTATGACGAAGGTTGCCGTGGGAGACCAGCCACAGGACATTGAGTTTCAGATCAGAGAAATGCTGATGCAGTTTATCACAAAGGAGAGCTGTCTGATCCTGGCTGTCACCCCAGCTAATACTGACCTCGCTAACTCAGATGCTTTGAAGATTTCCAAGGAAGTGGACCCACAGGGTACAGCATTTAGCTTTAAGGCAGCTCAGCAGTGAGAATCCCCTGATTCACATCCCCTCCTGTTTGCAGCTGCTTCTTAAATAGCCTTCTGCTTGGAGTAGGCCAGACACTGAATCAGGCTCCTGCTTTTGTACTATTTAAAAAAAAATCTGTGGCAAGAATGTGGTGATGGATATGTCTGTATTGATGAGGTCACACTTTCTGATTATGTACAGGGGTGCGCACCATTGGTGTTATCACAAAATTGGATTTGATGGATGAAGGCACAGATGCAAAAGACATCCTTGAAAATAAACTTCTGCCACTGCGGAGAGGTGAGGGTCCGGCAACCGGCCAGGCGTAGTTCAGCTTTTATGGCCGTAATGATGTTGGAAACCTGAGATGAGCGTCGCTTTCTGTTTTGGAAGGTTACATTGGTGTTGTGAACCGCAGTCAGAAAGACATCGATGGGAAGAAAGACATTCGTGCTGCTCTGGCGGCTGAGAGGAAGTTCTTCCTGTCTCACCCTGCCTACAGACACATGGCAGAGCGTATGGGCACGCCACATCTACAAAAAACACTGAACCAGGTATGCATCAAACGGACACGTTTAATAGGTCTAAAGCCAGTTCTCTGTTGTCCTCTTAAATATTACTACCTGTTTTTGCAGCAACTGACCAATCACATCAGGGACACCTTGCCCGGGCTGCGCAGTAAGCTGCAGAGTCAGCTCCTCTCCCTAGAGAAGGAGGTGGAGGAGTATAAGAACTTCCGTCCTGATGACCCAACGCGCAAAACAAAAGCATTGTTGCAGTGAGTGCAAATTAATTTTTCTGTATTTAAGAGGTATTTCAAAACTTGCTGCTCAGCACATGGGGTATTTATGTATATTTTTTCTGCACAGCACATTGTTGTTATTGTCAGTTAAGCTGTAGCATCACTGTTTAAGAGTCAAGAGATAAGCTACCAATACAACACCAGTTATAGTGTGTAGTGGCATCTGGTCTCAAAGGGAAATACATATATATGTTACATCTTCCCCCTATCCTGATCAGGATGGTGCAGCAGTTTGGTGTGGACTTTGAAAAATGCATTGAGGGCTCTGGGGACCAGGTGGATACCAATGAACTGTCGGGTGGTGCTAAGATCAACCGCATCTTCCATGAGCGCTTTCCGTTCGAGCTAGTCAAGGTGGGTGCTGATCGTGTACCACTAAACTTTTAGAATTTGGGTTAATGGTGTCTTTATAAAGATGAATGTCCAGTAAAATTTCTTCAGTGACTCGACTTTTTTCCCTTCCAGATTGTGTTTGATGAGAAAGAGCTACGGCGAGAAATTAGCCACGCAATCAAAAATGTCCACGGTGTCAGGCAAGTAGACACCGTTCTCTGTTCTGTTTCTACCTTCAAAGTGGGAACAGAAACCTAGTAGTTTACTGTGTAATATTTTGGTATTTAATTTTGCTTTTCTCCCTTCCTAATCTCTAAATGCATTTTCTGTCATTAACAGAACTATTTCATGTTAATATAATGTAAATGTTTAATTATTACTGTATTATTATTACTGTTCCTCGTTCTACGCAGTCACAGCGATTCTGAGCACTTTTTTTTTATTTGCCTCTGCTAAAGTGATCAGTTCCTATGAGGTGTCATGTAACGTATATATCATTGTCCTGCATTCCTGTTGTTTTGTATTCCTCTGTAAAACATTTGTCATATTTCATTTCATCTTTCTGTTACATTCGATGTGAACTTCATTTTTCCTTTTCTTGTCTTGGTTATCTGTCCTTTAACTTTCTCTTTAACATCCACGTATGTTAGTGTTTTGTTCTGGACCACATGTCTGTTAACTGTTCCATTTGTTGGCCACCATGCCTTTGTCTCTCTGTGCATCCTCAGAACGGGGCTGTTCACTCCAGACCTGGCGTTTGAGGCCATAGTGAAAAAGCAGATCGTTAAGCTGAAAACGCCTTGTCTCAAATGTATCGATCTGGTCATTCAGGAGCTCATCAACACATTCAGGCAGTGCACCAGCAAGGTACTGCCAGTGTCCAGCATCTCCCGGCCCAGCCAAGACACAAAGCTGGGGCGGTCGTGGTTTGCCAAGGGCATGCTGACACAGAACATTAGTCAGTCTATCTTTGTCTAACGTGGAAATCTTTCCACTCAAGAGTTAGTTTTTGATTTGACGAATAATGCTCGGTGTAGTTTGTCCTTGGCATAAGCCCAGCCCCATGAGCTCTGTGTGCAGGCAGTACTGTCGTGTTGTGGAGTGTTGTGACGGGTGACGTGGTGGATTAGAGATGGTTCCAACAGTGAGCCTCTCTGGTCTCTCCTGGACAAGCTGCAGGTGTGAAGACAGAATGCATAAAGCCAGCAAAAAATGGACATAATTTAGAATAAAGTAGCTTGCCAAGGAAGGGAAAACCTGCAGCTTGTCCTCCAATGTTTGATCTGTCGCTCTCCAATTAGAAATGACTAACTGAACAAACACTTCTCTCTTTATTTCCTCTTTTTTGCCTTTCTGTCTTTCCAAATTTCCTCTCTCTTGCAATTTCTTCCTGTCTGTCTCTACCATCACAACCAAAATGCACTCTGACCCCATGGCCATACAGAACAGGGCTCTTCACCCCTGACCTGGCTTTCGAGGCGATTGTCAAAAAGCAGATCCTCAAACTCAAAGAGCCCAGCCTCAAATGTGTGGACCTTGTGGTGTCTGAACTCACCGCACTCGTCATGAAGTGTGCCGTTAAGGTAACCTGGGACACACATGCTGGAATGATGCCATGAAATAGAAGGGATTCCTTCTGTTTATAAATGTGTATTACCATCATCAAAGTGCATCTGTTCATGGCTAAATCAACCTATAGTTTGCAGCTCTGAATGTGTTTACATTCCCATCCTCACTTACCAGACTACTCTGGAAGTTGACCCACCATTAAGCCTGAACATCGACTTACAAACCTTAGATGAAAGTTAAAGAACACCTTAGAATCTCCTCTGCCATTTCCCACATGGTGCTTGACCTCAGCACCACCTCCACTCTACTTCCTCTCTTTCCCTGCTGGCTCGGGAGCCCGGCCGGCCGGCCGGTCCGAGCAGAGCACAGCATGGTGCTGATCCTGGACTGACCCACACGGTACAATGACAGACACTGTCTGAGTAATCAGTGGGATAGGGCCTGATGGGAAGTGGGTGGGATTGACATTAGTACCCTGACAGCTTGGGAGAAGCTTTTCCATTGCAACCACTGCCATCTTGTGGACAGAGGAGAGCACTGCATAGCAACACATGCCCAGTGAAGCAGACATCCCACCCCCCCCCCCCTGCTGATTGGCTTTCCTCTCCAGTTTGTCCTCTTTCATTCAGTCTTCACTAACACTGATGGTTTTTGAGTCTTTACAGTCAGCTTTGGACAACCCTTTCTAATATGTTGGTTATACATGATTTTAGTTAATATTTTGATAAATAAAATTGCCTAATTTTAACCACAGCAGATACCTAAAAGTACAACAAAAAATTTACTATGTTGTCCCTGGCTGATCGTATTGTCCTCATCACCGTGAAAAAGAGACAATCACAGTGAATTAGACATTTTTCCGTGTGTGTGGGACTGTGATTGCCTGGGTATGTGTGACACTGAAATGTCACTTGACTATCTTTTACCTTTCTTTGTTTCTACTTATTCTCACCTCTCATTCCTGTTTCTCTCTGATACATTTTGGTAAGTCTCATTAAGCTCAAGCTCACATGTAAATGTGTGTTTGTGTCTTTGTCTAGTGCTGCAGTTACATGTTGTGTTGCCTTTCAGCTGAATTCCTACCCCAGACTGAGAGAGGAGACTGAGAGGATTGTCACCACCCACGTCAGAGAAAGAGAGGGAAAGACTAAGGATCAGGTGTGTTGCTAGGATGTTGATTTAATAGACCAGCAGGATGCATGGATTACAAATTTAGCATCAACTGTAAGGTTTCCTCAGACTTAGTCTAAGTCGATTGCACATTTGATGAATATAAATGAGGTATTACATATGTGAGATATTCAATTCTAAGATTCACGCATAGATTTTAACATCAGTTTAGCTCAGCAGTTTTCAAAAATAAAGACAATGCCAAATGTAAAACCCTGAATTAAATTCATGACAAATGACATGATAAAAGGACTGCAGAGAATATTTTTATTCCCTGTCATGTATTATCTTTACAAAAGCTATATAACTGTAGGAACGTATCAGATTGTTTTAATTTATAGGATTGATTAACTGAAACCTTTGAGTGAAATCATATTTTCAACTCCACCACAGTGCAGAAACTTGCAACCTTGATATTATCTTTCTGACAGACTATCACCATTGTTTTTTTGTTTTTTTTTACTTTCAGTCTTGCCTTTTTTCAGTACACAAATGTGTAATTCCAGATGTGAGACTTTCTCCTTCTCACATTGCAAGTGCTGTTTAATTGAGAGCTCTCTGTTCTAATCACAATTTTCTGCATTTAAGGTTCTGCTGCTCATTGATATTGAGCTCTCCTACATAAACACCAACCATGAGGACTTCATAGGCTTTGCTAAGTACGTACCCCCCTCCCCCCATCAATTTAGTTTAATTTACAGCTTGTTGCCATGAATACGGTCTCTGCACAAGAATGGTGGTGTGCAGTAAAATGTTTTGCGTCTCTATTTCATTTAAACTCACAAATGGAGGACGTGTAGTCCTTTTGCTCTGAGCCATGCAACATTGCAGCATTTCAGAATCTCGACCGCTGTTTCTCTGCCTGGAACTTTAGTTTTGCCTTTAATCTAAGCCTTGTTGCAAACCTGTGGTGCTTCATTGTGATGCTGCATGGCAAATAATGATCCAATCTCATCACAGCATGCGTTTCTGTGGTAGAGGTGGATCCCAGAAAGATAAAAAACATCTCTTCCCCAGCATGAAAAACATTCATCACCCTCCCCAAAAGAAACGCAGTCAGGCATCATCGCGTTGCAGATAAATGTTCTGATTGACTGCACACAGTGAGGAATGCTTATTGTTCAGCCCGAAAGAGTCGTGCTCATGGCCTTACATGAAACTCATCCGCACGCAGAAGCGTTCCCTTTTGTTAGATTTGGAAGTCGTGTAGAATTTGCGGATGGATTTATGTACTTGCTGGTGTAGCTGTTACAGTAACCTGGAGTGGAGTGGAGCTCTTCTCCTGTGTGGATTTGGTTATTGAGCAAGTAACAAAGCAAGGCCCTGTTTGAGCATGTTTCAAGAGTTTAGGCCTCTGCATGCCAAATGGAGATAAGCAAGGGCTCTTTAATGGTTCTCATGACATCACTTTCAGTCTAGACTACAGAAGGCTGGATGATGGTAGCTCCCCAGGGTACAGCAACAACAGGTGGGCATTCAGAGGAGACCGAGGGGTTTGTGTTTGGTCTGTCTGAGACTGGCTAAATCTTTAGCATCCGTTAAACGGAGGGTTTCATTTAGCTTTTAAGTGTTCTGGTAGATTGTAACTGCAACTATGATAAAACAACATCTTACTTTAAACCTAGCTAAACCTGCAATTGTGAGTTCCTTAAAATTTTAAAAGGTAAATAAGAACATAATTGTTCTAATATGTTTCACGTAAATGAAACTGCATGAAAGAGTTTTAAGGTTTTTAACAAAATGTTTTTGTTTTTTTCAGCAGATTGTGCTTGTTGCTCATGATGACATGTTATCTTTCTGTTTATTGACAGTGCCCAGCAGAGAAACACTGCTGCAAACAAGAAGAGGGCCATACCCAATCAGGTATGTTTGATCCTGTAGCACTGACATTATACCAATGACAGGTTTAATCTTCCTTTACTGATGTCTCACATTATCAGTCCCATAATCAACCTTGTGGACCTCAGCCATTAATCAGTCTATTCCCATCTAACTGTTAATGATTGTCCCCAGTATGTCATTTTAACTTGTGACTGTACTCTTTATAGTTGTACTATTCTCTCCTCCTCGTGATGAACTGGTTGATCTTTGTCCACAGTGTTTTAATGCTGGTATTTTCTTTTGTTTAGCTCAGATGAATTTTTAAACTTTCGCTGAAATGTGTGTTTAGGTTACTTAAAAAATACACAACTCAAATACAACATTTTATGCATTTTAATCAGCTGAGATGGCAGTTTCAGTAATGGGAGAGCTGCCGTACTGATTTTAAAGAAGGCCCCTCACCTGCTTTTTGGACAAGAGCGCTTCTTCCTGAGCTGTTTGCATGCGACTCTGGCATGGTTTTCTGATGCAAGCCAGCAAATTAATTGCAGAATTGTATTGATTGTTTTGCCATTAACTCACAAGCATCAATCTATGGATTAAAATTCTGAATATGCATGGACATTGCACCGATCAACTGAGCAACAGATATGACATAACCAAATTGTGTTGTACTTGAAGTAGTTCTAAATGCATGTAACTCTCTTGCTCTGTCTCTCTTCTCCTCTCTCTGTCTGTCCTTACTCAATTCATCTGTCTTTCTGGTTCCTTCATGGTTTTCTCGTTCCCTCCATTCTTGACTTTCTTTTTACCCTCTGTGTGTCCTGTGCTGCCTTTTATCTTCATTCTTCCTTCTCCTACCAACCTTCACCCTCTCACTTATATCTCTGTCCTATGTCTGTACCACCTCATCTCCTCACTTGTTTTGGCTTTGATTTTATACTACCCCTCATTGCTTTAATCCCCCTTCCCTTCCTATTACTGCAGGGTGAGATTCTGGTAAGTACCCCACAAATTTAAACCATCCCCTGCCAGGGGGCAGCAGGGGTAGGCCATGCAGAAGAAATGAGGCCATCTTATTAAGGTCAGCCAGTGTGGTTACAGAGTCAAAGACGCATTGCTGTTAGATGCCACTTTAAAGGCTCGCTCTTCTGAGAACAATTTTTCGCTGTAATGAGTTGTTTTACCCCTCTGCAGCTTGACGGGCTAGGAGAGGTCCTGGAAGAAAAGGTAGCGTCTCCAGACTTACCAAAGTGATGTCACTTATCACTCTTCTGTCAGCACACAGTTGCCAATAATTTGGACTGTCTTCGTAATTGTTCACTGTAATAAAGCAGTAATTGCCAGTAATTCTACTAACATTTTCTAGTGAATATTTTGAGGAGTGTGTATTATTTTGCCTCAAAGAAAACTGTGCAAATTGCTGCAATGGACCAGAGAGAGAGAGAGGGGAAATCCTCCACCAGTGACCATGGCGGCGTCAGTTCTGCTGTCATCGGCTTTTACCTCTGCTGCTGCCTCATGCATGGTGACTCAGAAGTTTGCCTTGTGAAAATTGAACAAAATAAGGGGGAGTGGGAAGTGATTAACTTTAACACATGGATTCTTGTTTTTCCCCCTTATATTTTGAGACATTTTCCATGTAATGATTGTTTAATCGAATCTATGTTCAAATGAAAATACCAAATCTCTGATTGTAAGTTCGGCATTCAGAGATTACATGTTGTATGGTTACTAATCTTGGTTTTCGGATGTATTTGAACAACTTAATCACAGTTCTACATAAGTATTTCTTTATTTCCTCTCCTTACTATCTCCAGAACACAGACTAATTTAGATATTTCACTAATAAAATTAAAGTTTTCTTGCTGTTCATGTCAGATGCAAAATACCTTCAACCAACCAATGAAACACATCCTTTATTTAACATTTAGAATAATTATTATTTTATGACTTATATGTGCTACTTGCCAACTGTACTGATCAGAGAGCATCTCACTAGTGACATGATGCCACATAGGAAGTAGAAACAATGTTTCAAAAAGAATTTCAATACAGGGGACTGGAAATGGTTCCTTGTAACAGATATATTCGTGTTTTCTTGCCTCTTCTCCCATGTTTTTACTTGCTCACTTGTATTTTTCTTTGGAAATGATCTTATGCAAAGCAAAGAAATGCAGGAAAGAGGCCTAAAAGGACTTAATTCTATTCTTGTTAGTATGGCTAAACGCGAGAGGGATCTAACTGACTCTCAACTTGAATTGCATGGAAGTCCATACTAGAAAATGAGGAGAAAGCGGTCGACTCCCCCTAAATTGCATGGCTTATGATTCTCTGAACATGACCTCTTGGACTCATGTATTTACTCCCCTACACTTTTTATATATTTACCTTTTGCTTTTTGATTAAAGGATTAACCTCCATGTTTAACTTGAGCCCGTTAACTCCTCTAACCTTTCTGCCAATGATAGGCTAGGGTGTTACTAACTGCCTGAAATTAACATACCTTTACTCAAGCATGTTCCCTACAGCATCTGGTGCTGTTTGTTGATCTAATCTCTTCTGTTGAGTGAAATAGAACAATACCTACATCCTCCTTTAGTATTTTCATTTAGCTCTTCCGATGCTTTCATTTAATTTCAGCCTGATTACACGCAGTGTATGTTACTGTGCATGCGTTACTGTTCTTTGATTACTATGCCGTTTAGTCTGTCTTGTAAAGCTTTGAATAATACCAGATTCAGACAGACACAAAAAAAACAACGATAGTAACTAAGTTAACAGTGTTGTCAGGTAAGTCGATAAGATTTTATCAAACGTCCTAATCTCAGAATCAACAATGGGACTCCTAATCAGTTCCAAATTTAAACGAGACTTCTATTGTTAAAGCTGTTTTCTGTCATCCTCTTGGCATCCCTTATTCCCTTTGGTCTCCCTCATACTCTCCTCACTGTAGGTAATCAGGAAAGGCTGGCTAACCATACACATCAGCATCATGAAAGGTGGCTCCAAGGAGTATTGGTTTGTCCTAACAGCCGAGTCCCTGTCCTGGTACAAAGACGAGGAGGTGAGAGAAATGTCTTTTTTAATGCAGTATATCAGAGGACATAATGGTTCTGATGGAATAACACAGCACCACAGAGACACATAAAGAGGAAGATGATGCTCTTAACACTGATATGTAATTTATCCTAAATGGAGATTTGCTGCTGAGAGGCAGGAGGTGTGTGCTCAACCCAGCCTAACCTAACCAATGTGCAGACTACTGTTCAGCTGTAGCCTGAGGAACAGGTAGTCTGAACACTGGGCAGGTGGGGTGGGGGAAGAGAGGGACTCTGGGAGGAAGGACCTGGAGGTCACTGCATCTGCAGGTCACTGCCCTTGCACTGGAAAGAGGACACACAGTGTAAACATTACCTCTGTACAACTGTTGCATATTGAAAAACAGAAAATACATAACCTCTAAGCACAAACACAGTAAATAGTTTAGTTTATGTTTAGTTTATTTACAAAATTCTATTGAGTTAATAATATAGATTGTATGAAACTTGTATTTGCCTTGAAATATGTTCAGCTACATGTTTTTGCGTTAACAGATAAAGACGCAGAAAAAGATGATTGAAAAGGCCGAACATTTTTTGAGAATTGAGTTCACAAACTCCCAATTGTACACTAACCGTTTGTTTCTACTTATCTTAAGTATAAAATACTGAAGTGTCACTGGATTCGCGTTACTCACCGCTCCTTCTCAGGCCTCAGTGGTTTTCCATTCTTCCAGCAAAAAGACACCTAATAAACACAACTACAAACCACAAGTAAAGTTCAAATCCACAACAGCACCCCTAGTTTGCCCACACGGAACCGAAATGGCCGCTTTTAGCGAAAAGCAAAGCAAAAGAAGGAGAGGGGTAGGATGGTGTAGGCAAACTGACGTGGCAGGCGGGCTGAAATGTTCCAGCCGGGATCTGACTTTGGAATTTGCAGGAAATCGTACTGGGTTACGGGGGCCGAAGGGGAGGGGGTGATAGTGTGCACAAGAGTGCATGTGTGTTGGTGTTGGTGCCGCTCGTGCTTTTAGTGTCTTTATGCAAACACCCCGAATTCATGCTTTTGGTCTTTGTTCAGTTTATTCAGGCACGTTTGTGTTTACTCGCTTGTGCACGTGCAGCTAAGGGTTTAGCCCATGTATGTGTGGAACTGAGTGATGTAACTGTTGGGCCTGTGCCGCGCTCTCTGTTAGTGCAGACGTAAATGCTTCCAGATGTCTCTGCTCAACAGCGAAAGCTGGCACCACATCCCCTAGATCTGCCTCATGCTCCTCCTATTCTTCCTCTTCTCCTCCCGCTCGCCTCCATACTACATTTCTTCATCTCACCAGCCCGGTGGTCCTTCACAAAGGGGAAGTGCATTCCATCATGTCTGCTCACGGGTGTTAAATTCTTATTGCTGCCGTCCTCATTTTTCATGTTCGCTGACAGTATTCTAAGCACGTAATGGTTTACACATTCCAGCTTTTCTGATTGTCACATATTTGTGCCTCTCTATTATTTTTTTTTCATCAAAGCAGTGTCAAGGGTTTTCTTTAAATCTCTTTTACTTCTGATGTAGGACCATAGGATGTAGGACTCAGTTCTGTCATGTTAATTTTTTTTCTCCTGAAACAGTTATTAGTTGCACAGTGTATACTGGTCTTTAGAAAAAGGAACCCTTCACAGGTTTTATATATTGAAGTTTTTAGCCTTAAAGCAGTAGAAAACTGCATTTTACTGTGTGGAATTGTAGCATTGCCATGGAGATCTTACAGAGAGCATGTCGTCTACCGCTTTCTAAATCCAGTTTCAAATTGAGAAATTTAGCTCGTTCATGCATTTGAATCCCTGCTTAGCCGAATCAATTCGTTGGCTTAAAAGCTTTAATCCAAAAGCGGCGTAAAGACAATAGTCCACATTGAGCTGCTTTTTCATCGTAAAGAGATGGAAAAGCTGGTTTAAGGGATCCTAGTTAGATCTGAGTTTGTTTGCAACATCAAGACACAACATTAAACGTCCCAGTGCAAATTAATGCCTACATGAGCCTTGAAGGAAAAAGCATTGTAAAAGGCTGGCAAAATCCAAAATTTTAACATGCTGCTTATATTTCTGTTTCCTTCTGAAACTGAGTCTGAAACTGACCGAAAATCATTTATGTACTGAAAGCATTTACATGAAACTTATTATAACCACATAGTCACCAGACTATGCTACATTAGAGTAACATAAATAAGTCTGCAGTGAAGAAAGTTATCAGTGAAAATATTAAAGTTAGCATTTACACAGAAAACAAAACAAACACTTTTGAAATGGACATTCTAAACATGAACAACTGCCAAACAGTGGCTTGTGTAAAAAATACAGGCTTTTAGGGAATTTTTTGGTTTATTTGTTTTTCGTTGACAGATAAATGTAAGTACACTTAGGGCAGATGTGATTTTTGGAAAATATAATAGACATGCCTAATGTAAACATTTTTTTTCCTTACGATGCATTGGTGTGTTTTTTTTTTTTGTTTGAAAGGAGTGACTTACAAGCCTGGTAAAGCTGTACTCTGTGTCTTTGACGCGTTCACACATGCTTCTTTGTGTTTGTCAGGTTTTTAACTGTGCGTTTGCTGTATAAACACAACACGGTCTTTCTCATTCTAGGAAAAAGAAAAGAAATATATGCTGCCTTTGGACAACCTGAAGTTAAGAGATGTTGAGAAAGGCTTTATGTCCACAAAGCATGTCTTTGCAATCTTCAACACTGAACAGAGGTCAGAATGATGCTCCCTTCTTATCACGTGTTGTCCGCTGGAAAGTCTCATCTGTCCAGTTGATTATTGCTCATATTCATGTCTCTGTGTTCCTGAAAGCCTACAATCCACGGTTATTTTGCTGTTTTTGTTTTTGTTTCTGCAGAAATGTGTACAAAGATCTTCGCCAAGTAGAACTGGCCTGTGATTCTCAAGAAGATGTGGACAGCTGGAAAGCATCTTTCTTGAGGGCCGGAGTTTATCCTGAGAAGGACCAGGTGTGAATTACAAACAAATCAACACTGTAGTTGTAGTAGTTACCCTTGAGATTGTACTTTTCATCTATTACGTGTGCAAAAAGTGGTTTTAAATGTTTAAAAAGAGCGTACTTTTTGTTTGCACTCCATATCATGCAAACTTGCCTCACAGCTGAAACCTCTGTGCAAAGGTTACTGCTGACATATTGGCATGTTGAAAAGTTAGCAGATTTGTGTGCCTCCGAGTTTCTTTTTTCACTCTATTGTCATAATATCTGTTAATGCAGAGAAACTTGCACATGATGTAGTGTTTTATTGTTTGCTATTGTTATAAGGTGGAGAATGAAGAGGCGGCCCCTGTAGACACTTTCTCCATGGATCCTCAGTTGGAGCGGCAGGTGGAAACCATCCGCAACTTGGTGGATTCGTACATTGGCATCATCAACAAATCTATTAGAGACCTTGTGCCCAAGACCATCATGCATCTCATGATCAACAGTGTGAGTCCAGCAGTCCTCAGCAGTGCACAGATGAAGGCTAAAAGTCTAGAAGTAGAATATTGCTGGCACATGTATGTGGGAGAAGTGGCCATAACAGAAATAAAATTAGTTGTTTTTTTTACTTTGCAGCCAGGACAGAAGGATGTTGATCATTGTTCATTCAGCTTTATACAAGAAAAATCCCAAACTGGTTTATTCATGTGAGAAATAAAGAAGAGCTGGAAAGGAAGTGAAACATCTGCCACGTAACAGTTTTTACATCTGGAACTGAATGCTGGTTCTGCTTTAAGTTGCAGACACCTTATGTTTGTTAAGTATTGGGAGGTCTTAAATGTTCTGTAAGCATCCATGCAGGTTAGCACAACATTAATCCTGCTTAAGGCACTGTCTGGACCAGAGAGTCGTACTCTATCATTTTAGAGTGTTCTTTGTTCAGTGCTTGTATCTCCCAGCTCAGCTGAGCGAAAAGGGTAATCAGCTTACTCTGGAAGTGTTGGACTAAGAATTCAGAGTAGCTGTTGGTCCGACTGTAGATGAGGGCATGCGGGTTTGTGGTTTTCAGTATGTGCTCGGAGATGCATGTTGCAGTCTGCATGACACACATGGGAACCATGTTGCAACCTTCCACTGACTGTTAACCCCCCCATCGTTCTATCATCGTTCTATGATTATGTTTTTATTATCAGGCAAAAAGTATTAGGACAGCCTAGTGCTGAAAAGGCAGGAAGCAATCTCCAAATCTGAGATGATCCTCACAGAACTCCATGTTAAAATGTACCAAGTTAAAGCAGAGATGAATGGATGGTTTTACCTTTGTAGCTAATTTATCCCGTCAATCTGGATGGGATAAATGTTTTTATGTCTAAGTCTGTCAGTCATGTTGAATGCTTGGCTGTCGTCCTGGGTCGGCCTGTTGTGATTCTTGGTTTACCTCAGGAAGTGCACGCTGTCTTTGTGCATGCATCACTTCTGACAGCAGACACCTTACAAGGTGGAATTTGAAGCTGTAAAACTGTGTTCACTTTTCTTCTTTTTATAGAATGGTCCGTTGCTTCTTTCACATTGACACAAGTTTTTTTTTTGGAAAATTTACAATGCTCCTGTTTATACTTAAAATTAATTTTCCTTTTTTTAATTTTGCTGTCTCCGAGCAACAACACACATTCAGTCTCACACACACTCAAACCTTTGATCAACACCGCACACCAACTACTTTTGTTTTTTTAATGACAAACCTGCTCAGGTCCCAACCGTAGTCCCTCACCGTAGTCCCCCATTTCTGCAAACCCTGTTGATGCGCCCTGCCTCGGCTTGTTTTTTTGAAAATCTAAACTTCTACACAGGCAAAGGACTTCATCCACTCGGAGCTACTGGCTTACCTTTATTCATCTGGAGACCAGAACAGCCTCATGGAGGAGTCAGCTGACCAGGCCCAGCGTAGGGATGAAATGCTGCGCATGTATCATGCCCTCAAGGAAGCGCTGCATATAATTGGGGACATCACCACCAGCACAATCTCCACCCCAGTGCCGCCACCTGTAAATGACAACTGGATCCCTGAAGCCAGGTGAGTTCGGACGGCCGCTCAGGAAGCTGATGATAGCTAACAGAATGCTCCAAAGGTTTGTCCTAAAGAAATGCTCGAAACATCACCTTCTCACCCCCTACCTTGTTTTGTTAGACTTGATGTTTTAAATGTTTTCATTTGTTTTTTCTCTCCCTTAGTCCGACCCCCCAGCGCAGACCGCCCCCCGCAGCAGCCCAGCCCCCCAGCCGTCCACCTGCCGTTAGGGGCCCGACACCGGGACCTCCAATGAACCCTTCCCCTCCCTTTGGAGCCCCACTCAACCCCTCTCCAGCATTTAATGCCCCTCCCATCCCCTCTCGCCCAGGCCCACCCATCAGTGCCTTCAACAGCAGTCAGGATCCCTTCAGCGCACCACCACAGATCCCCTCCCGGCCAGCCCGCGTCCCGCCCGGTGTGCCCAGGTACGGACTCCTCTTATCACACTGTGACCAAATTCTTATTCGGTTGTTGCATTTTTTTTACGTTGTTTTCCAACGGTTCATCGCTTCCATCCATCACCTTTCTCTTGAAAGCATGAGGTATGACTCACCAGTTCTTTTTATTCATAAGTTCTGCAGCTGTCCTCTCATTTTCTTCAAGTTACGTCTCAAAGAATTCTCGCTCCTCTCGTCTTCTCGGTCCTTGCCTCCTGTCTTTCCTGTCTTCCAGGTGGTTTGGTTTCATACTGTCACGGTGAGCACGTCTCACTCCTTGTCCTGTATTTTCTCTCCTCATTACAGCCGAAGACCCCCTGGTGCTCCGGCTCACCGACCCACCATTATCCGCCCCGCTGAGCCCTCGCTGCTAGACTAGAGCTGTGGCCTAGCCCACTTCAGTCTGTGTGTTTGTGTATGGACGTGTGTATCTACACACTGTTGGCGGGGGGCAGGGGATCGAGGGGAGGGTTGACTTAGAGTGGTGCATGTTGTGCATCGTCCAGCAGCATTGATATGTTTAATCAAGCAATATTTGTAAGCTGCTGGTTCCGACTATAGGTGCACAGGAAGAAAAGAGGGCCCTAAACCACTTGCATATTACATTTGACTGCTCGGGAATACCAAGTAAAACCTGGATTATCAGTTAGAAACATCAAATGAGCCTTTATTATTATATCTTAACACGGTTGTTTCTGCAACAGTTACTTTTCTGTGTCCGGACATGGCTCCCAGCATAACATAACATGCGTTTAATAACTGATTTAACTGGCACAGACTGGCTCTCCTCTCCTCTCGCCTCCCTCCCTCCGTTTTTAAACAGGCCCCAATGCTCTGTGTGTAACGCACACACTCGTTAAAGTTAGACTGGGTTTTCATATCTCAACTGATTTCATACTGAAAAAAAAAAGCTTGTTATCCCAGTTGTTATTTTTGGCGGTGTCAGTTATACATATACATATATATATATATATATAAATATATATTATTTTTTCCTATGTTATTTTATTTGAGTGACTTTGTCCTTTTTAATGATCACTATAAATGTAGCTTTAAATGAATTCCTGATTGCCGCAGCGACAAAGCATTACGATACGGGGGCAGGGTTGCAAAAGACAACGAAAATATTCTCTGCTTCTCTAATTTTTCTCTCCATGTTGAAGAGATCTCTACTTGATTGACCCTTGAAGCACTTCTAGCCATCTAGCCTTACATGAAAGCCAATCATGACAGCAAACTGGTGCCTGTTGTCTGAACAGCCAGTGGATGGACAGAAAGGCAGACTGGAGGCTGCAGGCTGAACTCTCAGCTGGACTCCACTTTTCGTGGACCCTGTTAATTCCCGGGTTAGCTGATTCAAATAGCAAAGCTCACAGTTCAGCTTACAGTAAATGACACTGGAGAACCTAGTTGAGAGCTTAGAGGGGGGCAGATCTGTGTTTTAGAGAATGAAGCTAGGTTTATAGATGGAAGAGGTGCCACATCTCAATATGGTCTCCAAGTAAATTCATTCTTACTATTGCTTGCAGCTCTGCCTCCATCTATTAAAAACATTGTATATAGCTGGCCTATACAGCAAAATTGGGTAACACTTTCTGGCACACAGTTCATAGCAAATACCTGCCTTTAGTAATAATCGCTGCCCAAAATGCAAAAAATGTAACTGTAGCCCTTTAACACTGTCATTTTATTGATTTAACTTCAGTGTAAGGGAGTGAAAATGGTCCACTTCACATTCATTATTTATAACCTGGGCATTTCTCATTAATTTTCATGTTTGGTCTCAATTGTATCAGCTCTGTTAAACTTTCTCAGTTCCTGAGCTTCACCTTCACTGTTATTTTTGGGTTCTGCTACAGTGATTAACGTTCTGTTGGGAGTGCGCTTGGTCCTTAACAAATGCAGTTGTGATTATTTGCAGATGAATATTATATGATTGCTCTCTGAGCTTTTTTTTTTCTTTTCTTTTTTTTACAATTGATAAATATTTCCTTGGAACACGTTGGTGTCATCTTTAGGTATTTCAGTTAAAAATGGGTGAAGGTGGGAGTGATGTTGGATGCTTCCTGTTTTGAGTTTGATCAGTTGTGGTGGCGAGTGGATGGTGGGAGTAGTGGAATATAACTGCACATCCTGTCTCAAGATTGAGCTTAGACTTTTCTGCTCGATTTAACAAAAAAAAAAAACTAAAAAAAAATCTAATCAGGACATAAAAAAAGCGTAAAGAACTCAAATGTCCTGAACTTGAAACATTAAGCCTTGAGACAGAATGTGCTTTTTCTCCTTTTTCTCAAGTTCGAGCTCCGAATGACAGAGCTAAATGGAGAGAACAGTTCTTGAAAACCAGCCTTGAATCTTTTCATTGATGGCCTTTCAAATTGCACATACCAATCAGTACATAATGATCATAAAAGTTGTTGGCTGGAGTTTATGGAAGCTCCGCTGTGCCTGTCATCTCAGCTCGCCCTGGAGCAGCTTAGACTGTTAATACTCTGTCACACATTAAATAGGACTCCTGCACATCCCCTTATGTACTCTCACTTGTTCCTCTTTCCCTCCCCTCACTGAATTTGGAAGAAGGGGTTGGAAATGAATTTGCAAAAAAACCTTTTGGTTTGCAAATCCTTAAAAAGTGCCTCTGTAGCCATTAATTGATTTGAATAAACATCATGAACTGACTTAGAAAGTTAAATAAAGAGGTGTTATGTACAATAAAGGGACCGGCTCTGGTGGTTGGTGTTTCTTTGTGTCCTGTGTGATGCACTCTTACATTTCTCTCAGATAGTGTAGAACACTTACTTTCCCTCTCTTCCTCTCACCCGTTAAACGCACGTTTATTTAGCAACATGTCAGTAACAGTACTCCTACTTAAGTGAAGCATTGCCCAAGTGAAAGGTAACACTCACTCTGAACATTCAGCTTTACACCAAATGCAACAAATATTCTGTTATTTTTGATGGGTTTAAATCTAACTCCACGGTAAGGAGCTCTATCAAAGTTAATTGTACCCAACAGTAATAAATGACAATTGTCAGTTAAAGAGGACATATTTTCAGAAGTGTCATAGATTTTTACGCCAACTACAGAACAAAGTCGTATATAATGAGTAACAATTTTTTTTTTTGTTTAAACAAGTCTTTGGTTTGATTCTCTGAGCTACCAATCACTTCATCTTCCTGTCTCTACTCCAGTTGACCTTTGCATTAACAGAGATGACCCTGGTGTTCTGATAAGCATATGCTTACGCTTTTCTTCTCAAAAGCTAATCTTGTCTACGTACCACAAGGTCATAAGATTAATATTGGCTGATTGTCCCTGAACAGGCGCCCGGCTCCCCGTCGAACCAACTGGTGACCTCGCGGCAGACAGTGGATACGACTCCTGTCCATGACAACGGAAAAAGAGAGCCTGTGCGTTTATTGCTTGACCATCCAAATGAAAAGGTCCGACCTCACCGTTAGAGGACTGTTTAAAAAGTGAAAACGCTTCTCCATTCAAAGAATCACCTAAAAGGAGTCGATATAAAAAGTAATATCAGTCTTGGGTGAATGACGCTCTGGGACCTAACAATTGTTGAGAGATCCATTGGAATGGTGTAAATTCTCATTTAGACAAAAGGCCTACACAGAAAAGCATCACATTCACAAGGGGAGGACAGAATAAAGCACCGTGCAGTCATTCTTACCAGTGCTTTTTTAAAATGTTTATTTTTCTCTATGTCTTGCAGATGGTTAAGTGTTGACACTTTATCAAAACTAATATAAATAGAATAATAAAAAAGGCACATGTGGCTAAATGGTCAGGAGCGGTAGGCTGTGGCTTCAAATATCTAACTAAAATGTATTTAAAAATAATGCAGTTACATTATTTTTGTTTGTCTATTTAATCTATATGTGGCAAGATGATCAGGGAAAAAAATGTTTATGTTTGTGTAAATGTGTACTATGATAGTTGAAGGTTAATTATTTGGAAAGGTTTAAAACATGAAGCTTATAACAAATGTATTTTTTAAAATACATTTATGTCGGGTGGGGGGTGTGATGATAATTTGTTTTTCATTGACTGGAAGTGTTTATTGAAAATATAGCCAAGACTGTTGCATTAGTGTCTGGAATAGAATAAATACAATATTCAAGAAGGAACAGAAGTGACTTGGTAGTTTCACTGATGACAATGGATCTAAAAATGTGTCTGTATGCACACCATGAAGTATGAATATAGAGTTGTCTTAGGTGCAGACCCGTTTGGGGCCCTCAAAGAGGCTTCGCAGGGTGCAAATCTGAACGACAGCAACGGTGAGCATGACGAGCAGGTTCAGGCAGGACCAGAAGGACACCCGCCACAGATTGTCCTCCAGGAGGTAGCGATCTCTGGCCTCGAATGTCCGCAGCACCGTTTGGATCTGACCGCTCCTCTCCAGGTGCTGGTACACCAAGTCCATGCTCGCCTGGAGGAGGAAGACCAGAGCGACAATCAGACAGCGATGAAAAAGAGGGGGGAAAAAAGAGGGCGTGGCATTAGGCAAGTGTTGGCGGAAGGGGAACTGTTGTTTCCATCTCACCCTGATATCTTCCAGTTTGTACTCCACCATGCTCTCTGACACAGCAATGTCAGCCCACTCATCGCGGCCTCCAGCTGTGCTGCTCTGACTTTTCATGGTAACCTCAAAAAACACCATCTTTTCTGACAGCTTGCTGAAGCTGTTGTCAAAACAGAACCGGTAGTCTCCATCCTCTGTGGGATCCACCCTGCAAAAAGAGACAATACAACCATGGAAACTAACTATAGACCCAATATAATAATGATCATTTCCTGGTGATCTTATGGCATGTGGGAATTTTTACTGTTCCCCTTTTTATCATCTATTTGTCACAATCTAGATATGCAGGTGAATTACTAATCGAAAATGAAGTTGTCATTTGTAAGTGTAAGCCAATAATATCGGGTGGGTAGGTGGAAATGTTGTGTTTTGGTGACCCACGTGTGGAAGGCGTCTGACTTCCTGAAGTCAGAGATCAGTCTGTATCCGTTGGGGGAAATAAGGACGAACCCAACATCCAGCCCAGACCCCGCTATCACCTGTGAAAGAAACCATCAAACGGGCTTCAACTGACAGCACAGACACACACATCCTCCCATTTCAAAGCACCTGCCTGACATTCAAATGAAATAATTGATAGCAGCCCGAGCTTAACTCGGATAATATTCCACTGTAATGCCAATGGCAGAAACACAAGTTCAGGGTTCAGAACTAAAAGGAACTGACGCTTTCAAGCTTGTAATTTTTTTCCTTTTGGGCTTCAGTTGGAAAGGTTTTACATGGACCCATAACCCGGTGCTCTGATTGGACTAAATGAAAGACCATCTGTGGGCTGACAGAAATATGATGGTAGGAGGGGAAATAATGCAAATATCGTGGTCATAAAGCGTATGGAGTCAAATATGTAACAGGTGGCTTTTCTTTCAAAAACTGAAAACAGCCACGAACACAAGTTTAAAACATTCTGTTTGCTTCATATATGGGTGTCTTTAATGCCATGTTAAGACAACTTCAACATGTTTCATGTCCAAATAAGCCAGCTCTTTTCGTTGTTCTGTATGCTTCTCAGTTCTGTTTTGACATAAACAAACAGGTTTCTTCAAGTGTACAAGCAGTTTTCTTATCTCTAAACCAGACGGATCAGAGTTCAACCTGTTCCCTTCCTCAGTTGTACATTCTTTTCAAGTTTCCAACAAGCTGCTCCCAACGTCACATTAAATAAGGCACAATTAGATTTGAGATAGACAAATGCAAGTTCATATTTACCTGATATTCAATTTCTATGCTGTTATTCTTTGTGGATGTTTGATAGAAGCATTCTGTGCTGCCAGCAGGTAATAAGAAGGTAAATTGTTGATTAGGTCCCAATCTAGAAGTCAGACCTACTGCCAGAATCAGACACACTATCAAAGAAAACCACGCGGACGTTGTCACTGTGTGGTGGTGGCAGCTCATTGTCCATCAAGTTTCTTCTACTTCCACAAACTCTGGGCAAAATTCTCCTTTGTGACACATGTGAGACGCCACGAACTCTCCTGCAGGGTTATGAGGAAATGCTTCCTGTGGAAATCCGACGGTTGCAGAGCCACCTGGAGAGTGGCTGAGAGCAGAGGCGCAAACTTTGGATCTATTGCGCCCTGCGCAGTGGACTTCACACTCACATGGGAGCTGTCAGACAGCGTATTCAGGGGGAGAAAAGTGCAGTTACACTTCCATCCTTTAGGTGGCACACAGCCACAGATCTGATGAAGGCAGGAGGCAGACACTCTTTCAGAATCAGAGGGCCCCAAACATGTCAATATGTTCAGAAATAAGGGAAGTCTATTTTTTTATCCACTTAATTTGTTTATTGCTATATCTGCTTTTGATAATAGCAGTCCAGCAGTCTAAAAACAGAAAATAGCAATAATATTTCTACAGAAATAAAAAATACAACTTTGAGATATAATGATAGACTGCAATTGTCACAATGAAAATAAAAAGAAATAAGAACACAAAATACTTGGTTGTAAATGATTCAAATGAGTTTTTCCCAAGAGAGCAGTGCACAGTCATTTTACATAATATCAGCAACTGCAAGCCCTGAAATTTACACAGTAGATAGATGCAGATTCACGAGGCGGTTGTAGTCAACAGAAATAATTTTAAAAAACGCTTCAAAGGATGCTTTATCAACAAAAAAGTCTTTGTCATTCCCCCAACTTGCTGTGCGACGTTCGTTCTTTCAATTAGATTATCATGTTTTCTCATCTCTGTGTTTTTTCTCTTACTTCATCTGATTAGATTGTTGAAAACACAACTTGATTTAACAGTGTCTGAGAGTAGATGTGATTCAGAGATGAGCTGACATTTTAAACAGAGAAAAAAAATAATCTCTTGGGAAATTAATCAACTTTGAATTCACCACACTGAGAACAACTGGGATGTTTTAGATGTCAGTTATTTCAATCTTCTCAGCAAATGATACGAGGAGCCTTTCACGATGCTTGCACTTGCTTTTGCTGCCAATATCCTCTTTAAGAACTGCCATTAATAAAAAAGATAAATAAATAATAACTTTAATAAAAAAAAAAAGGGAAAGGGCATAAAAACTATGGGTATTTATGGGTTTGGCAGGAAATTTAGATGAATGGATTGCATAGATTTAAATTGACTGATAATTCATCCAGCCCTGGCTAGCTGCTTTAAAGTCAGCACAGCCACGGATGATTTGATACAGTAAAGGTCTACTGAAGTGCCAAAATGCTATCAGGATCTGCAGGTAACATGTGCAGTCACTGGTGTCAATGTGTGAAAACGTAATGGTTTGAGGTTGCATAGCTGTCCTATATACAAAGCAGCTTTATTCAGCATCGAGAGTTGAAAAGAGAAAGATTATCTTTAACAAAAGTAGCAATGGTAGCTTTTGAGACCAAAGTCTTTATCAGTTTGATCTATTTGTGCAGCACAAATCCACAAAAAAAACCCTCTCGAGGCATCTGCCACAGACACACTCAACATTTCCCTTTATAAGCCCAACTTGATAGCAGGGGGTAGAAAAAAGGTGGTCGGAGGGACAGGAAGAAAGAAAAAGTGAAAGAGAAGCTACAAAAAAATAGACAAAGTGCAACCAACCGCAGATGAGTATCATGCAAACTCAATGATATCTCAGAAAAGTGCTATAAACAGACAATCACAACACAACAGAAGAGAGGCGCAAAATGTAGTGCAGAAGGACGACAGAATGGTGGTGCCTAACATCTCAGAGCTGTAGCAGCAAAAGCAAGCCAGGGTTTAGGGATGGACTCAAAATGCAATGTGATCTGCAACAAATAAATATGCCAAATTCACAAAAAGCAACTGTGATGAAGCTGCTGTTGTGCCTCTGACAACGTTTCCACGTCTGTCACAGTGCGGAGACTCACAACAGTCAACATCAATACTCGATGCTGTCAACCAGGGCAAACCCAGTGAGCTGTTGCAAGAATATACCACCCCCCCTCTGTGTTTTCTACCTCTGCCAACCTAGAAACAGGTGGATCTACATAAGAAATTAAAATGGTTATATTTTAAAACTCTAATGTTACAGATGGAGCTGTTCAGCAGTTTCTTGTATCATCATTTTGTTGGATAATAACACGACTGGGATATCAGAATTTCAGGAGAACAGAGTGACAGTCTGGACATGCTTTGACAGTGATTTTTATATACAGTGTTAAACTAATTTAGAGAAGAAGAACGAAAAAATGGGTTTGAGGGCAGTTTTATTGGGATTTTGATAGCATAGAAATACAAATACTTTGTGCAATTTAATACAATTAAAATGCAACAAGATGGGATTGAAACCTGCACCCTCAGGTCTATGGGGTCATTCGTTTACATAATGCACAAATCTATCTCCAAGTGCATCATCCGGGTGCGTTGGCCTGGTTATGAGTGTTTGATTCCGTACAGTTTTCGGTCTGGCCAACATGTTTGCGTGTAGTTCAAAAGTCCTGCTGTTTTTTGATATACCACACACTCATTGTCGAACCATCCTCATTCCCAAACTACAGCATCAAAATGAGCAAATATTATCCCCTACATCCAAATTTTAAGTGAATAGTAAGATACGCTATATAAATATCAAGATAAGGATCTTAGACCACTAAAAAAAATGATGTTGATGGTTGTTGCCGACGGACCACCACATAAGCAGCAGAGACTGTACAGCAGAGAGGAAGTGTGACTGCAGATATTTCAACATTGCTCTTGCAGAGAAGTGGGAGGGTGTGAAGTGGAGGTTAAAATGCCTTTGAGTCTTCAACCTATTCATTGTGATCTACCTTAAGACTTCATACATGATGAAGTGACGAGAAAAGGATCACTACAAAGGTTTCATTTTGATGTTACTGTTACAGTGAGAGCTGCAGCAGGTGCTACATCTCACGGTTTCCGCTTCTTCCTCGTCTTTTTCTGACTGCTATCACTCACCGTGAAGGAGCAAGAAGAGAGCCCACCCATTTGCAACCTTTTCAAACCCCCTCTTTCTTCTAAGACCAGTTGTAGCGGCGCCCCCTTTGAAGTTACACGCTTGACTTGCAAAGGAGAGCTCTACACCGAAATGTTTTCGAGCTCAAACAACTCAGCAGAGGCGGTGGCGGAGGGTGGTTATCCGTCTGTGTATGTGGTGGACACCCATGCCACGCGGCCCCCCCTGCCGCCACGGCTGAACCAGAGAAAAAGGGCCACCGGGCCAGCACAGACCCTGCTGTTCCTGCTGGTGAGCCTGGCATTGTGCGGCATGGTCATAGAAGCCTGTTTCATCTATCGTCTCTATCAAGAGGAATCTGTAAGTATCATTGACCCAAAAAACTATTTTGATCTCAGCCTATGATTCTTTGACTTAGCTTTTTTTTTCCTGTTCATTGTATTACCCTTTGAGGCTAAGTAAATCTATCTTTTTATCTTAAGGTTTGGTACCTATTGTCACTTTAATTTTTCGAATAACTGTTTTTTGCTTGTTTATCAGTTACTTTTTGTGAGAAATTAGTTGAATTTGCCCTTACATATTAGTCACGAGAATATATTACAGAATCAGACATTTGAATGTTGCTTGTTTACGCCTAAACTTATTCATCCACATATATATATTAAACTAAATTTAGCTGAAAACACATGGGCTTTACAATAACACTTGAAGACATATATATATATATATATATATATATATATATATATATATATAATACATATAGTTAGATAGGGTGCTGGTGATGAAAGTTACTGAGGACAACAAACTACGACAGCCATAATTTCTTTTGTTTTGACTCAATAAGTAAAATATATAGGGGACTGTTAACTGTTAATTACTAAAGTGGAAACTTCATCCACTTAGAAGTCATCCCAAGCCTTCAATATTTCCCAGTGTCACGGTGTGGTGTTGTTTCAGTACCACTTATCTTCATAGATCATTCTTTGTTGGGCTCCTGAATGAGATGCAACACAATATACACAGTATATACATAAACATACCAACACATACATACATACATATATATAGATTGAACTTGCATTTGTGTTGGTCTTTTGTTTTTCTTAAATAGTGCTGATGTTTCACTAAAATGGGGAAGAACTGAGATGAAATGGTTGTAGATGGTCACTGTCAGTGCAGTTTGCTTTGCACTGCTGATGAGTTTGTTGAGGGCAGCAGTCACGAGTTTTGAAACTGGGGTAGGGCGACATGGGCTTCCGAGCAATCTGTATAGATACAGCCCATGCTGCTCAAACAAGGGACGATGAGAACAAAGGAAGTGGTCTTTTAGTCGTATCATGACTATGATCTATCTTTTACACATCATGGTGAAGACCGCCCTGTCCTACTTTCCAGCTGCCTTCTGCAGAGCTGTATTTGGTCAAAGATGTGGTGAAATGATTTATAGATGAGCTTTATTTGATGCAGGTTTTTCCTTTACACTTGTCTTCCACGAATGATTATTTAGTTCAATTGGCATTTGATTGCCAGCGCAAACAACAAAATTGTGAACGTCTCTTTGTTTTTTCGCTCTACTGCAGGCCACCCAAGCATCGTTCTCTAAGTTAATCGCAGGTATGTTTCAGCACTATTTATCCAACACACACATTTTTCAGAAATGTCCCACTTAATGCTTTCATCTCAAATAGAATCTTCATCTCCCACCAAACTTCCCGGTCAAGACATCCTTCCCTCTAAACCAGTTGCACACCTGACAGGTGAAACCAGAATTTTTGTTATTTTAGTTTAAGAAGTTTACTTATGCACCCAAAAGGAAAATAAATCACTGCACCCTGGTATGAATTGAAGTTTTAAAAAACGTGTTTGTTTTGCAGATGGACACGATCCCAAAGTCCACGGCAAAACTATCATGGCCTGGAACCAGAATGCAGATCCTCTCCTCTATCAAATGGACTACAAAGACGGAAAGCTTATCATCCTGAAAGAGGGTTTCTACTATGTCTATTCAAAGATTTATTTCTCAGAACACGACAGTTTTCATCATTTTGTTAATTTAAGTACAGAAAGGTATGCTGGAGAATACATCACTTTGCTGGAGTCGAGATACTCGAGACACAAAAACAAAAACTCCCCATCATTGAGCAATATGAAATCCAACAGCTACCTGAGTGGAGTGTTTCATCTCCGTAAAAATGATGCTCTTTGCGTAAGTGTCAAAAACATGTCCCAACTTATTCGATACAAACCATCTGAAAATGTTTTCGGCGCATATATGATATAGATCCATCTATATTCATCTTTTTCAAGTAGGCTCCCAGAGGTGGGGGGAGCGTATCCAGTGGGGGACCCACCTGGTAGTGTGATGTCTATACATATATTTTCTATTTACATTTAACCATAAAACTAAATGCTTTGAGTTGGAGTCAGCAGTTATAAAACTCCATCTACGGTTTTCTGGACTGTTTGTCAAACCATAAGTCAGAAAGGTTTTCAATGACTTTTCTGGTCACGAGGGTGTGAACTTCGCTGGTGGCTCTTTGCTTGTAGGTGAAGGTTTTCAGTTTAACAGTCAAACAAAATTTTCTTATTCATTCCTAAACTCACCTACATACCTATTTAAAATCACTTAGTTTCCAATGATGACAGTTCAGAGTTTATGATGTTGATGTTACTGAATAATGATTTTATTGAATGTTTGTAGATTAAAAATCAAGTACATACTTGGATATGCTATTTTTTACCTAGTCTTGCCACGACACGAAGAGTGTTTTATTAATTTATTCCTCCCAGATGAAACTATTTTATCATGCTGTATATTTATGCACAGTGATGTAATGAAATAAAGAAATGCTGATTCGACAGTGTCGGTAAGTTTTGTAACTGAAATGACTTGACTTCCTGACAGGTCAGGTGAGGCCGAGCTAAAGATCAAGTGTCCTGAGTAGCAGCAGATGCAGCACCCACTCACTCTAACCACACGGCAAGAAGTGCTCATGGGGTATTTTCATTACCACAGTTTCAGGAGTACACAGCATCGACTCAATATGTTCATCGCGGTTTGTGGACTTTAAAGGCTCAGGCCGGGTTTGGGCATCCAACCTTTGTCGGGGTTTGGATGTTTATTTTATTGTACGTCATGGTAGCAATTCTGTGACACTGCAGGAGCTGTCCGTCATACATTTAAGATGAAAATTGTGTCAGCTCAACCCGTACATTGTCAAGGTATGTGGAAAGAAAATGACATTTCATTATTAATTACGTTTTAATTTATTACACTGATGTGCTTTTTTTCTTGCTCTTGCACAGTCACTGTTATGCTTTCCCTTCATCTGTGGCTCTTCGAAGAAGCCGGTCACAACGCCCACAGAGTTGTATATTTGTAAACTGTAGAGGAAGTGGTAGTGGGGGCTGCTGGGTGGGGGGGGGGGGGGGGGTGTCAGTAGAAGATAGCCTGACTCACTTTCCAACCCCACACCTGGAGAGCAATGGAGGGGGAAAGGTTCTGCAGGACTGTGAACCTGTGTGTATGTGTGAGAAAGTGGCGAATGGTGGGTGAAAACCTCAAATTAAATTTCCCTCACACACATGGGTTTTCAGATCAGGAAAACACTACCACTGAAACAGTAGCTACTCTCCACAGTCTGGGGATGCGTGTTGAACAGCCTCATTCGTTGACATATCAATCAAATGATGTATCACCTTCATGTGTCTGTCAGCCTCCTTGCCATGATAAATGACTTTGTGAGTCATAATCTTCCATCGATGGCTAACATGATGAAAGCAAGACATGCCTTACCAAGAAGGGGAGCTGTATCAGCTGTGTGGTCACGAGTCATTATAGTTGATCTGAAAACTAAACATGACTTATACAGAAAATGTGTGTGGGATAATTATATTCTGAAACAAACTTCTATATGCCTAAACAAATATTTTCCATTTGCAAGGGGAGGTTTGTGTTAGAAGATAAACAGATGTTTGAATGTTGTCAGTTTTTGACTCCCATGTAAAAATGAAATAAATGAAACAATGTCAAACATTAGAAAGCTTCTTTTCCTAACCAGAAAACCGACAGTTTTAAAAAGCAACTTGACATTTAAAATTCAAAGTGAAAGAGGTGGTTGAGGTCTACTGGAAACAGTCTGTAGCTAAATGCTGTCCCCTTGTGTTGGGGTCTTGATCAGAGAGAGAGCAGCTGAGGGCAGAGGGTTGAGCTGAGTAAAGGAACACGGGGGTTTGTTTGGTGATCCACACGATTTAAAATTTCCATCCAACCTCTATACCGGTCATTACCAGCGGGGTTGCGGGTGTCCATCACACAGATGGACACAGATAAAAAACAACCACAGAACTCACAGTTCTCCGGGGACTCGAGCCAGGAACCCTCTTGCTGTGAGGTGATGGTGCTAAACACCACACCAATTCTCGCCCAATTTAAAAACTCTCAGTTGAAATAGCTGATAAAACAAAAAATGTCCACACTCCATTTCACAACAGACATCTAGAATCAAGATTTAGGACATTGTTTTGTCCAACAAAAATGTTCCCAGGCCTCCCTCTGTGGTTAATCTCTCTTAATCAGAGGGGGAAAGATGCTGACGTTTATAAAGACTGCCTCTGCATGGTGTTTGGGTGGAAAGGATGTGTACCACAGAAGATTCTTCCTCAAGCAGCCACGAATCTGCACGACAGTGCTGGTTATCACTGTGAAAAACAGGGGTTGGAACAAACTTGGCAGAAGCCTCTACTAAACGAGACAGAGTGGGCGCCGATAACTGGGTATTTCTGCTATCTGCATTTTAATTCAACGTCTTGGTCCCCTATGATGTGGAATCGAAAGTTGTGTTGGCTCCAGGAGCTAAAGGTACAGGACTCCATTGCTGTGGTTTGTGAAAGAAAGATTTGCAACCAAAACTTGGAAAGTATGCCTCTTGACCTTGATGACTATCTAAATGTTCCAGTGATCAGTTTGCTGTTGCTTTTAGGTTCCGAAGTTCTGTGAGGACGTTCATCAGATGTGATGGTAGATGTATATGAATATTTAACAGGCACATTTTTCTCTGTCTCATGGGTATATTCTTCAAGAGCATGTGATCGGGAGGGTCCCCCCTTTCTCTTTCTATTAATGGTTTTGTAACATCCCACCATCAACTTGTGACCTCAGGGTCTCAAAAATGACTCACAATAAAAAGCGAAACTGATTCATTTAATTTCAAGCCGCATGAGGAGGATTTAAAAGACATTAAGAGTAATACAGAGGACGGAAAGTAGCATTTTTCACAAGGACGTTCTTGTATATTAAAGATCATCAAATATATACTTTAATGTGCTCAAATAAAGATATAACATTAAGATAAATAAATCAGTTCTTTTGAAATAAACAAGCCATACCTCGATGTATTAAAAAAAGAAAATCACTAACCAAATACTTCTTTCGACTTCTCTAAATGCTTTAACCACAATGTATTCATTATTTCCTGTATGATGATGGGTAATAGAAACAAGGACTTTTGAGTGACATTTCAATCAGGCACAAAACACTGATGTGTCATGGTAATGAGGACATGAGCAAATTAAAGAGTGTAAACAGCAGGGAAAATTCCACAAAACTATCACAAATGCGTTTTAAATTCTTGTAAATAACCAATAAAGTTATGTAACAGTTTGAACAGTTTGAACTGGATATTCTAGAATGACTTTAATAAAAAGTTTCTCAGCTCCAGTGATTCACTACCAGCATAACACACAGTGACAAACTATGATGCACAGAGTTGGACATTCACTGGATTTTAGCCAGTCTCTCAGTGGAATTTTAATATATACGGTACATTTTCTGTACATATTCTGGGACAGAAAATAAATAAATAGAACATAAATATATAATTCCACACTGTTCAAAAAACATATTAAGAAATAAATCAAGAGTTAGCCACAAAAAACTGTGCAAATAGCACCATTTAGCTGAAAGATTAGGTTTTCTGTGGCACAACAAAATAGTACATTCTTCCAACACATTCAAAAACTGTAAAAAATTCTAACCAAGAAATAAAATTGAACTCGTACCTAGATCAAAGCTCTTTGACAAAAGTTGAGAACAATCCAACATCGCTTCTTCAAAGACTCACAAGGAAGTAACCCTCCAAATACTCCAGTACTTCCGAGGAACTTCATAAAACAAATACGTTTCAGTGTGAGTTTCTGGAGTTTGTTGGAGGCATAACATACTGATTTGTAGTGACAATACTAGCACCAGACTAATACTGGAGCGGCTGTCCAGTAAATCTAGGATGCCAGACAGAAGAATTACACAAGACATAGATCACTATAGATTCAGTTTAAGTTTGGATTTTCTTTTGCATACATTCAATTCGGGGATGTTTTCACCCATCCAGTGTGTAGATAACAATGCTCTATGGACCCGCTCTTGGACTGCAGACATACATTTGAGTAGTTTGCTAATGTTGTGATCCAAATGCAGAGGCAGATATCATTTCAGTATGGTAAGTAAAACAAAAAGTAACACAACTGTGGCATGAGAGCAGGATCGCTTGAGAGGGGTCTGGAGAAGGATAGGTGCCCTGGAACATGCCTAGGAGGCCATTTTGATAAGGTCTAAATCTATGGATTGTCCATAAAGATTATATCCAGGTAGGTCATGGATTCAATAGTATCAACACAGGAGCATGGGGGGTCGATGTAAACCCCCAATTTCTTTCCAGCAGACAACCTGTGCACCTTGCTGATTAAGCCTGTGCTGTTAGTTTTTGTGTTAATCCAACCCACCAGCAGGACATTGTTATCCACCTTCAGTTCCACTGTGTGTTCTTGTTTGACAGATTTATCAATTTCACTGGGACATAACTTCACCTGAAGACTTAGGAAATAGTATCCATCCTTTTTGATAGTGAGTAATTCTCCCTGATCTGAAATCACACCTGCAGCTTCATCTGGTGACTCCCACTGAATTTTGCTGGTTTCCTTGACTGAAGAAAAGATAAGGTGCTGTTAGTTCTTAATGTGGTTTTCGTTGATATGCTGTAAATATTGTGAGAAACTACAAATAATGTCATACATTGCCATTATACTGGTGAAATAACAGTTTTCCTCTGGCAAGGATATGTATACATCCAACAATGTGATACATTTTTTCATGGTAATATACTTTAAAAAAGGATAATCTTACCTGAGGTAGCCTTAAAGGTGACCATTTTACCTTTTCCTAAAATGAGCCCATTATTGGAGCCATGCTGTTAAAAAGAGATACATTGTTCTTAAGATACACAAACATTTTGAATAGTTAAAGTTTGATTTTATTGAACTTTCTGAGATGAGGAACACCTCCACGTTTAAAGTGAGTGTGCTATCTTCAGAAGGGAAATGAAAAGACAACAGTTTTGTTTAGTTTAGTGGCATTTCCCCGAATGTGGCGATGACGTCACCGTGCTTCCTTCAAGAGGTGAGCAGGGTGGTTAGATTGAAATAAGTGAGATGGGAACAGTTTTATATTTATTTGCCGTGCAGCTTATAATTACCTTAAGTATTGTGACTGTAAATACATTTAAACTCATAACACTGACAACAACCTGACACCTTGTACTTTAAAATGATGTTCACCAGGTTATAGAGGAATCAAACTAAACACAATGAGATATGTGACAAACAATCTCAGAAACCGTAATTATCGTACCAAAGATTTATAGCATACCTGAGATTGCATTGTGTGGTTTGGTTCTACAGTGCTACTGATGGTGCTACTGTTCAGGGACTGGAAAAAGAAATAGAAGGACATCATATACTCATGATATATTACATGTGAAGGTTTTAGAAAAAAAAATGTTGGCAGTGGATGAAAGGAGGCCGATCCTCAAAAGGAACTGCTTGAACCTAACCGTTCAGCTAAAATACATGCTGTCAGAGAACCAATCACACGATGCCCATTAGAGACAAGCTCTACTTCTCCAAACACCAAAACGTGTCTTATCACCCTAAAAATACTTCAGTATTGCTACCTTATTCAAGGCTTCCAATTGGCTGTTTGTAATTGATTGTAATAAAAACACATTTCTTCCTGAACAAAATGAAAACCCTTTAAAACTACCTGAGAGTCATAATGGGGTCTGTAACCAGCTACAGACCACATGCTCAGGTGTTTTTTCTCACCAGTTGTGCTACTATCAAAACCACATGAAAGAGCAGATGAAGTACACAGGTTGTTTTTAGCAGGCGAAGATTGGAACTATCACGTTAGCTTGTTTAAATTGAAATAAAAGCTCATGTTGAAGTTTAGAATTTACATTTTGGTCCCTAAACATTCTGTAAATTGAGTGTTAAGCTCAAAGAATAAAAAAAAGTCTCACCCAGCCATTTTGTCCTGCTGCGAAGAAGAGGGCAATCAGCACAATCTGGATTATAGTGATGAAGGTGGTCCACAACAGGAGGAAATAGACCAAGGACTGCTGTGTGTGATGTGGCATTGTCTGTCCGATGTCAGTGTTCAGAGCAATCTGAGCTTGGGGAGTGCAGGAAGACAGCTGTTAAGAAATGACGACTGTACAGGTCCTGAGTTTCCTCTGCTGCGCACCCAAGCAGAGTGTGTTCGTTTCCTGAGCTCACTACGTACATATGATGAGGATGTTTTAGTGTCAGACTGTGTTCTGCTTTGCTCTAACTACAGAACAAACAACAATCCAAATGGTACTTTCCCCTGACAGTTAGAGAGCACACAGAGAGAAGGCCGAGGCTGCATCTTCAACTGGGGTTGGCCCCTTTTTTTTATCACCACAACTCACAGAAAAAGTAGGAACCTAAGCGTACGGCCATGGAAGAGGGAAAGAGAGACATGAAATAGAGTTAAAGTGAATCTCTCAGTTCCTCATTCATAATAAGGCTTTCTGAATAGTGTTGAATTCTCATTGATGTGTTAGATAACCTTTGGCTCTTTTTGTTTTCCATTTCTCCTTTTTTCCCCAAATATTTGTCTTTCTTCCACATATCTGAAGTAAAAGTGTTTTAATTTTTTTTTTATTAAGATACTGTCCTATAGGGTTTATTCTACCAGTGAAACAACACTAACAATTTGCAAAGCAATAATTCACCATGTCAAGATTGCTAGATGTATTTTTTACTTTTTATTCAAATCCACATTCTGATTAAAATGCCAAACAAGACCAGACAAAGTCTCGAAAAAAGATGAGAACCGTTAACCAAATAGGGTTGATTTAACATTACACTCACACAAACAATTCACAGTAGTGCAAAAATATGACCCATATCTAATCTGATATCTTAGATTGCAAATGCAACGAATGCATCAAAGGTCATAGTACCAAAAAAACAAACAATTCAAAGAATGTCAAAATGCTATTTACTATTTGCACTATGAAAAGTCCCACTTACATCTGAATTTTGGTTGAGGTAAGTGAATGCGGTTTCACTTTCTCCTTTTGTTCTTTGTTTGGGGAAAGTTTCATGGCAACAGAACAGGATGGGCTCCGGTTCAGGTATTTGTCATCAGACTGAGCAGTTTTGTGTCATCGGGAGACCAAGAAGAAAATGAACATGTACGTGCTTCAATGGTTGATCAAATGACACAAAAACAAACAACATGTGAGTTATTGTTGAGGTAATTAAATCCACATCAAATAAGAACATGTTTCTGTTCTTTTTTCCCCATTTTGTATTGAAAACAAACATTTTTATTAATGTGATTAAGCAGTATCCAGCTCTGTGCAGCATTTTTCCAGCCTGTGATTATTAAGCAACGTTGAAAATAAACTTGTAGAAGCAATGTGATTATGGCTATTCTGCATTTTCAGATTATGTAACACTTTCCAAACAGAAACCTCATAGATCACCCTGCATGAATCATAGTTTCATATGACAGACACAGAGGAAACATAGCTATGCACATGTTTAGAAGCAACAGCTAGCCAGAAATAGAGGAAGAAAGGTGGTTAAGTATATCTGATGAAGGACTAAATCAATAATGCAACAAAGACCCTTGATAAGTGTGATGTGAGATTACACCACAATATGTTGTTCTCAATAGGTTACAGGATAACCAAATAACCAAACAATAATTTTTAACATACTGACAAACATTAGTTCATTAAAGTTGTCAGATTTGTTTCCTTTGCATAAACTTTATGGACTAAAAAAAACAATTAAGAGCTAATTATTGTATCTCCAACCGATTTAGATCCACTTCCCAATAGATGCATGATGTCATTATTTCCTATTATGATTGTTTACAGCCATCTAGTGGATGAAAGTCAGTAAAACACAAAAAAGAAGCTTTTGATTTTAGAAGTAGTAGCTGTCAGAGTAGAAAAAATACATAATGATTCATCAGCATCTTCTTTGACAGAAAGATTCTGAATGTTCCGAAAATAAACATTGCTTACAGGCAATGCATCAGCTATGGATTTGCCCCAAAAAGTTGACAGCTACCGCTTAGGTGGAAGCATATAATTACAAAGAGACTCATAATTTATTATTTTTTTCTTTAAAGAGAATGTGTGTTATTTTATGTTTTACAGCTTTTACTGAATAGAAATGCAAAATACTTGGAAGGAAATCAAAACCTCATAACATTCTTTGCACTTTGCATTGCCAGCGTCTTCTCTCACTGCTATTCTGTAGGATTTTCCATTTCTTCTTTGTCCTTTGAAACACTTTCAAAACAAAAGTAATGAAAGCCCCAAAAATAAGATTATATTCGCAATGGCCCCTTTCGCCTCTGGGTAAATGCGAGCTTGTATAAAAACTTGTGAAAACAAAATAGTTTTTAATCAGCTTTTTGTACCTGTTTTATTCTGATATTTGCCATTGGGTATTTGTTCTTAAAGAACAATGTGGAAATCAAAATATTAGCAATGTCTGTGTTTTTTCTTACAGTAATAGTTTTTCTGGAGCTCACCCTATATCAAATGTTAAGAAATGCAACTCAGATAACATGCAAAATTGTAATACTTTACATTAAAGTTTTAGCAGTCTGAATGCATGACAGATTTTATTCTGTCAAAAAGATACATTTACAAATAATGTATTTATTTAATTTATGCATTCATGGTAATCATTTATCTACATTTAGCTGTTGTTCTACCTCCGCCCCCCAAAAATAATAAAATGAAATGAAAATTAATAAATTAATAAAAAGCTTAAACAATGTTTAAACTTATGCAGAACAATCATTAGAATAATTTCATTGTTGCCCTCAGTACTTATGTGACAGCAAAAACACTCTGAATCATCCTGATACAGAACCACTTTGAAGCTTTAGAGAAGAAATGCAACAACCTGCATCTCTTCAGCAGGTGGCAGGATAACTCCAGAAGGCCGTTAAGCTTTTAGTCAGATCTAGTTCAAAGGTCAATCGTAAATGTTGCTCAGTGGTTTATGAACAGATATACACGCCATCAATAATTTAGTTAGAAAGCAAAATGAAAAATTTCTCAAGTGTCTGAATGAGTTTCAGTCTCACTGGACAAACAGCTGGACAACATCTTTATGCTCTGGAAAAGGTCCATTTGATGAGGGAGTTTTGGGCTGATCATAACTGAATTATGTAGAATATTTTTGAAAATTGTATAAACAGAAAGAAAAAGAAAAAAAAAACTCCACCTAGAAAAATGTGTCGCTCTGAGCAGCAGAAGTTGGGACGTGTCGTGACATGGGTGGGACAGCTCAGTGCCTCAGGACATCTGTGAGTGGACAGCACCGGTCAGAGGGTGGTGGAGCGAACATTACAGCTCTGATCGATACATATTTGATTTTACAGCTCTGACCTCTCGGTTTGAAAACAGACACTGCGTCAGGTCATATTTTTCATATCACAGGAAAAAGTAAGCTGTTTTTTTTTCTCCCCCTAACCAGAACAGGCGTTGGGAGGGGCTTTCATTAACAAAGGACTTTATTTCGAGGTTTGAGCTCCAAAGTCCAAGTTTGGAGAATTGCGCGTAAATATTGGTGCTGTCCAGCAGGGTGGCATGCCACTAAAAGGACATCTGCAGTGAAGTTTTAATTGCATGTTGGGTGTTTTTCCAGTGTTCCCAGCTATTTCCACTTCCCCACTGCCTTCGCTTTTCCCGCTGGGCTTCTTGGTATTGATGACAGACGATACCTCAACTCCAGAGCGGCTGGTCTCTCGGTGGGTTGTCTGCTGCTGTCAAACGCAAGTTAAGATGGATTTTTTCCACGGACGGACGGACTAAGAACTCTCAAACCCCCCGTGCGACCGTGAGGACGGACTGCAACTACTTTTATTCAGGTTGTCGGCGGAAAAAAAGCCATGCAGAAGTTGAACTCCAGCGGGACGCACGGCGGCGCGCTGCCCCGGGACGCGGAGCTCCAGCTGCGCCTGGCTGACAGCGGGGCAGCCGGGGAAGGGAAGGAGAACGGAGCAGGGAAACATTTCCTCACGCAGCCCCAGCAGGAAAACTCGTTTTGTACCAAGAGAAAGATGCTCGTCGGTTTGGATTTAATATGCTTATTTGTTGGTAAGATTTGGGCAGAGCATGTTCTGGCTTCAAAGTTTTGCGTGTTTTTCTTTGGAGTTTAACCATGTTCCCAATGCAGATAAACTTCCTTATAGGACCCAGACCCTCCACCCCCCCATTTGTTGTTAACATCTGTTTCACAGAAGAAAAAAATGGTTTTGATGGGGGAAAAAAAATGGATGGGTATTTGGTAACGTTAACTGAGCTGCAAAGCAGTTTTCCAGAAGTCCCATGGAAAAGTGTTCAAAAGGGAAGAAAACTTCTGCTCGGTCTCTCCTGCGCACGTGGGGGCAAGAGGGAGGGTTGGAGCTGGAGAAGGGGGGGCTGAGCATGTAGGAGGG